CCCTTCCTCCCCTCCTGTGAGCTAAACTGAAGACCGACTACCTGCCTACCAACAGCATTTCCCTTGTCTTTACTGGTTACTCTGGAGTGAAAAAAAATCCCCTAAGGAAAGGAGAAAGGGATTTATAACGAAGTTTAAATGAATGGCTCACACTCCAAAAACCCTAAAAGAAATGGTCTTAAAATACGTTTTTATGGGCGTTTTTAAGACTTACATAGTAACTTGCCTCAGAAATTCCTTCACCCTACAACTCGTTGGACTTTCACAACTTCACAAGTGCTCAAATTTGGCTACATCGTTAAATTAAAAGTGATGTAAGTTTCTATTTGGCAGTTATAAAGGCACTTCAGTAGAGTTTTGAAATCAATTACTGCAGTTTTCAAAGGTACTATAATATCGCAATTTTCGAATCTTTGGAATTAACCTTGTGGGTAATCACAATAAATGAAAACAAGAAACTCCAACTCCTATTTAAGACTGAAGATGTGACTCATTATGTGTTGCAGCCTGAATGGAGTCTGGCTTTGTTTGCATCAGGTATTACTACATCTACTTAATCATGTTCGGAAGCTGGAATGATTCATGTCTGTTTAAAAAAAACAACAACTCTCAACCTCCTCTTCATGATCCTGCAATAATCACCACAATAAAATCAGCTGCAGCTCTTTCACCAACCTTGAAAAAAATGCAAATGTGACCTGCACTCCAGCTGGCATAAAAGTTAAAAAAATGTTAGCAATCATCTCACTCCCACTCATCCTTGTGTTAACCACAGGCTTTCCAAAGGAAAAATATTTGGGCCGCGAGGCACGTTTCACTAGAAAATGCATGAAAAGCATGAAAACCATGAGTGGCTGTTTCTCTGCTGGTTGGCACGGCATCATAAGACATGCTGCAATGTATCGGCTAATGCTTTCTCATGTAACGTTCAGTCACTGGCTTTAGTGCAGGATGCAGAGGCATCAAGGACATCTTGCAGCAGTGGAGCACAGAGGCACAGCAAGTCAGGGACCTTACATGAACTGAGATTTGTACAGGGCTGTGATATTTTTCACCCACTTTGTATCAACAGAAAGAGGACACACATCTGAAACAGGAGGCATTGGTAGTCTAGCAACTGAGGCGTCCTAGGGAAACTGAGCCTGCCCCAGCCCTGACCTAACATGTGCTTATACGAGACTGTTTCACCTCAGGCAGCAGGCGACTGAGGCCGAAACCAAGCGGTCGGCCAGCCCAGGAGGGTAAGGGGAGGGCAGAGGTCCTGCAGATGGGCACAAAAGAGTACAGGAAGTCCACAGAGAGGACAATGTGGGGAGGGTGGGGCTTGGCACCAGTGTTCATCCATCATGCCATTCCGCTCCCAGGACACTCGACTGTGCAAAGCACTGTAATTTGAACTAAAAATATTGGACTTTCTTTCCTCCTTCCTTTTTTCTAAATACTGTGGCTACTTTTTTCAATCCTGCGGCTCACCAGAATGGTCCTTCGCCCCTATCAAAGCTACATGTGCAGGACCTCTCTCTGACTTGTGCCCGTAGATGTCTTAGTTGCATGTTAACATAATGTGATAATGTGACAAATAAACCCTGGAAAGAAATGTCCTATTACAGATATAAAAGAAGCCATGTTTTGTCTGGAGTGTGTTTTCATTTTGAAGCCTTTGTTAAATATTTTAAAAAGGACTTCAAATGCTGTTAATGTTCAGACACATCTTGTCGTCAATGTAGAAATTAATTTGGATAATGTGTAGAGTTTGGACAGCTGAAATCCACCTCAGGTCATTTGGTGCATGAATCACAGCATGTGTTAGTTTAAAACACACCTACTTTTATAATAGAACTAGAATGTGATGCAATAGGAACTGCCCTCTGAGTTTACAACAGACATTTTCGGTAAATGCAGGATAACCACCGCTTTACCCGGCATTATCTTAAATAAGGAGTCGGAAGTATCAAAAAAGCTCAAACTGGAATAGATATCTACAACAAACATTTCATTTTTGAATATTGAGTCTAGAAATCGCATTAAGCGAACACTAAGCATAACAATTGTTCAGGAAAATCACTATGTTGCCAAATCATGTTAGGATGTCATTCAAATGTGCACTGCCACTCTATAATCGGTGTGTAAAGTGTCCCTCTACAGCATGACACAGCACATTACAAACACAATGTTTTAAAGGACATTTTGGTATTTAGTTTCAAGTTAACTGAAACCATAAAGCATTAGAAGAGACCCCATAGCTTTGTAATCTACACTGTGCAATATATCATTAATATGCTGCAATGTTACCCTCAGGAATGCCATGTTTGTGGGTGTCCTACCCCAAGAAGTCCATTGAAGGGACCCAAACCTTGTCATTACAATTCCAATGATAATGACAGCTTGGAAAAGCTCAGGGTTATTTCAGTTTTCTCTCCTCACTGTCATAGTAATTACCTTTAAATTTAGTCTTCAAACTCTGTTGATGATGCCAGAGCAGAGAGTGACCCTATATGATTCAGTTTACAGTAGCTACACCCAACACTTTTATGATATTTACTTTTTTTGTTTGATGAATAATCTACACTGGACACTGATAATGGAGAGAATGTCATGGTTTTAAATTATGACCTGCGCTAGCTTTACATTGTTTCTTTTGGATGAGCTTCCTCGAAGATGTAAGCCAACTGCATTTACGATTATCCTAGTGGTTTTCCCATAACTCCAGTGGAAAAAAACCTGTGGCGATGGCAGCGAGTAACACATAATTCTTTTCAGGACAATCTGGATGCTTTTGTCGACAGGAGTCACATGTATTTCATGTCATCATGTGGGAGGAGATCATGTGCAAACAGATCCTGTTTGATAGAGCTCAGCATGAGAAGACTCTAATTACAAGAGAAGGGACACATAGTGTGTCAGTCCACAGGCTGTTGAGCAGAACAGACATCTGTATCTTACAATCTCCCCAGAGTGATTGACAGTGATTGATTGATTTAAACTTTTGTTTATATCTAAAAAGTTTAGCAGAAGGTGAGAAATAAACACAAAACTGCAACCAAAACAATGAGCTGCTGGTAATTTTTTGAATGACTGAAACAAACTTTAGAAACGTATAAGGTGGCAAGGCCAACGATATAAAGGTTGTTTGTATTCTGAGGTCATTAATCAATTCGCCGACTTGTCAACGATCTTAATAATTGGTTAACTTTTAACAGATGACAAAATGTCAAACATTTGCTGGTTCCATTTCTCAAACGTATCTGTAGTTCATTTCATTGCAATTGAGTATGAAATGTCATTTGGAATGACTTTGGAACTCTGCAGGGGCATGTTTCACTGTTTTCAGATATTTGACTGACTAAACCATTCATTCATCTTTACTAATTTATTAATATTGGCTTATTATTTGTGATAAACTCAGGTGTGCATTTGAACTATTTAATTATGTTACTGGTGGACCTCTTTTATTTTGAAGGCAGGAAAAGCACATGTGTAAATGATAACTTATTCCTTGTTGCATCACGGTCCTGTATAGTGCATGCTGTCACACTGTCATGTGTTATTATAACAGAGCCATAAATAATAACATTAGCAAAGCTGTACTTTTCCTATGACAAGTGACTGATGTTAAACTTTTTTTTAAAGGAAATGCATAGCTAAATGGGTGAGTTGTATTTTTACAGACATACAATGTTTTATTTCAAACATAAAGATTACAAAATGCTAAACCAGAATGTACATAAAACACATAGCAGACAAACAAACAACTTTTCCTCGGTTGCAGCGTCTCCACGGCAACAAACGCGCTCCTATGACAACAACACGAGACAAACATTCAGGAGCTCGGTACCGGTACCGGAACCGTAAACTTAGCCCAACTGATCAAACGTCATCTCGTTATGGTAGCACGGGGTTGTTGTCTGTAGTATATTAACGGTAGCAGGGATGGAGAAGAAGAAAGTCTCCAAAGTAAAGAGAGCGAAAGCCGGGTGAGTGCCTAACGGTTTGCCACATTTGTACACGTTTTACGTTAGCTTTGACGTTAAAACACTTTGGGTCTCATTCAAGGAAAGGAAAGAAGGAAGGAAAACAGGAGACCAAAGCGGTCAAAGAGTCTGACATCGAGAGAGCCAAGGACAACGCTGCCCTCTGGGAGCTGAGGTTAAAGGTCACCGAACAGTCGCTCGCGGAGTACCGCCAGGATTGCCGCAAATTGGCACGCGCGAACGACGATCTCACGAGCCAGCTGTACCGAGCGGAGAAGGACGCGATCGATATAGCTGGCTTCATGCAGCAACAAGACGCAGCTAAAGAGGAGAAGGTGAACACGTTGCGTGTGTGTGTGTGAATGATGAATTATTAATGAATGATTAACCACGTCCGGGTTTTAACAAACGTGTTTTAACAGATCAATACGTTGCAGAAAAGACTCAGAAGTCAAGAAAGAGTTGCACGTGAAGAACAAAAGAAACTGGTGAGTTCATTTTCAAACAAGCGACAAGAAAACAAATGCGACTTTTCATTTGGCCCAAAAAACATGCTGCATGATTTACTGTGAGCAACTTAACAAAATGTGCTGAGCCCTGTCTTAACAGCTGTCCTGTGTGTAATTATGTTGACATTTATTATGAAAGAAGACAACAACCAGAGACCATAACACAACAACAACACACCATCACATTCCGAGGTACATGGTCTTTTGCTATTTTAACCTCAGTGGTCACAGAATTACAAATTACAAATGCTTGCTTGGGAAAAGGCAGTCACACTGCTGATCTCTATGTGTTGACCTTATCTCACATGTCACACAGATCCTTACTCTAAAATAAAAGTTTAGTTAGCATAATAAACACCAAAGGAACTTATTTTGACCCCATTTATCCTCACTGACGTCTGCTCCTTGTAGCTAAAAACAAGCTATCAAACGGACAAAATTCGAATCTACGTTTGCTTCTGTTGGTAGCAGCTGTTTTTCCATCTTCCAAAAAAGAGGCATGGTCTGGACTAACTTGAAACATCCCTATTTATGACATGTATGGATCTGTCCCATAGGTCCAGCGAGGGGAAAAGGAGTACTTGTCATGTGGTTTACTCTAAACATGGGACATCAAGACACGCTGTTCAGCCCTTTTGTTGCTGTGAGGCGATAAAAGGGTTCAGCTTGAAAATTGACTTAGCTAATGGAAGCTGCTCCACCGAAGGCACAAAAATAAACTTCACCGCGCAATCCCATTTAACGTGAAACTGGTGGATATTTTTTGGAGATGCCGACCATTTGGTAGATCACACAGAGTGAAAATTGCATGTGACGCAAACCAACTTGCACAACGATTGGTTCGATTATGTCAATGAACATGTCCGGAGTTATGTTAAGAACAACGATTAGGCCTGAAGTGGTAATCAGCTGGTTGATAACCTCTCATTTAGTCGTCATGGACATGTTTGCGGGTGAGTGTTTTGCGAGTCTCTCATGACTTTGGTCATTTTGTCACATTTTTGACTGGCTTTCCCACAGTAGCATCTTGAGGTATTTAGCCTGTGTGATGGTATGAGACTCTTCTTCCCAAACTGTTCCAAGCTGCACTCATGGGAACTTTACATAATCTCTAGTCCTGTATATAGACAGTAAATGCACGCATTTAATGTGTGGAATGTTTTTCATTTTGTGTTCCACAGGTTGATTATTACACAACTGAAATCAACGAGATGAAGGAAATGTTCAGAGAGAAGTCCAGTGACTTTAATATGATCCCATTTTGGATGAAGAAAATCGAGGAATTTGAGAAGAGGAAGTCCCAGGTGGAGCAGGAGCTCAGTGATGTGAGTAAAGCAAACGCAGTAATAACTTATGAGGGTTTCCTATTAGGAGCGGTTCTCAGGATGTTCATGCAACCAATAACCTTTAACCTTTTTATTTTGTAGATGAGAAAGAAATTGGATGCTGCCGATAAGGAGCACAGGGAGAACCTCAACGAAAGGGAGTGCAAATTCTTAAAAGAAGAGGTACGGTCAAGCCAAATGATCCGACTCTGATCAATTTGGAAGATGCTCACTAATAATGAGGTGAAATAGATGTGCAAATTCCCCTGTAGGATCGCCTGGAGAAGGAAGCTGAGCATATCATCGACCTGGGGGTAGAGAGGGCCCACAATGAAGCCATTGTGTGAGTGCGTTTCCGCTGTCCCTTTTTACAATCTAATTTTATTCTTTAAACTGCACTTGGATGTCCTCAGAACGCACAGAAATAATAATGAACTGACGCAAGTGTTTATGTATTTAAAATATATATAACTAACAGTTATTTTACTTGACCACACCGGCTGGTCATATTCAGATAATGTCCATCACCCAAGCCAATGATCACATCTTCAGCCGCCTCGGAACAAGGGAGCGTAATGTGTGGGGGGGAAGACCATAGTTTATTACTTTTGACCCGTTTATTTCGCCACTGCTATGTTTAGTTATTTTTTGCAGCTCACAAAACATCAACATTGATACTGGTGTGGTCCTGCCCGTTTGGTCTTCGTGTCAGTAATTGATTTAATTTTGAACACACAGCGTGTCTTTAAAAGTCAAGGACACTGACCCAGTAAATTCTGTGCGCTGGAACCAAGAAACAGAGAGAATTACGTTTAGCATGAAATTAACATTCATAAGAATATTTTCATTATCAGAGACACTTTTGTCAGAGGCTTTTTTTTTTTGTTTGTCCTGCAAACTATTCAGGCAGTTGGACGATGCCTCGCGCTCTGTATTCAAGGAGAACGTCCGTCTCAATGAAGCACTGAAATATCACATAAAGGAGGCAGAGCAACTGCAGATATTGACAAATTCAATGGCAAAGGAAAATGCCTCGCTGGCTCTGGACAAGGTATGTTTGACCCGTAGAACAGCAAACAGCAGCGTTACTATTAGGCACCGGCAGTCCTGGGATAGAAACCATTCATCTCCATGAAGTCATTTTCAATCACTTCAGTTATGAAACACTTGTTAGACCTGTGCAGAATATATTTCAGGTGGTTTTTCCCTTGTGTTGTTTACTTGTGCTGACCCTGTGTATTTTGCTTGTGGTCCTACTACCCAGCCGCTCAGTGGGCAGTGGTTTTGGTGAGTTTCCACTGGTGTATGGGATTCAAATTCAGTGGCTTCTCCTTTGCAGGTTTCTGGCACGGATTCCTTAAAACAAATAAATATTTGGCACATTAATCTTACCTCTGATGACAGTAAATAAGGGAAGTAAATCCACCGTGTTGAAGCCTTGGCCACTCCCTCAGCAGCACGGGCTAGCACACAAACCATTATCTGTTCCAGCTCTACACATTGGCATGCAAATGAAAGGATTTTCCATTTTACTACTTTGCTCTTCTGTCTACTCACCCAGAAAACGTTTGAGTTGATGGTAAAGAAAAACACAGCTCAGATGGGGGCCCAAAAAAAGGAGCTATCAGAGCTGAGGGCCACGGTCGCTTCCCTGGAGCAGGCCCTCGAGCTAAAAGCTGGGGAAGCCGAGAGACAGGAGCAGAAGGAGAAGACGACTCTGGTCAGCATCCAGGCTGGCCGGGTAGAGTTGAAGAAGCTCCAGAAGGTGCTTTCCATGCGGAACAGGGAGTTGGAGAAGGTCAAGCGGCTAGCGAGCATCATTGTACAGCAGCGCAAAGAGCTGGAGCAGTTCTTCCATGAGGCCCTGGCTGAGGTGAACCAGGAGATCATGGCCAGCAGGTTGCAATACAAAAAGGAGGCGCTACAGGCTTATCGCTGGGAGCTGAGAAAAGCCACAGCAGGAAAACTAAAGTTCCCACCTATCCGCACCTTTCAGAAAGGCCCCCACAGTACCAACTCTGTCTATTCAGACATGGAGGAGGCTGCAAGGTGGTAGGTCCGCTTCCCATCATTTCCATGACTTTTACAACAGTGTATGTCTTAAGACCTCGTGTTTATCAGCACCAAGTGACCTGCAGCACATTCAGTGGTCTGCACTCTTCATGGATCATCTTAATACAGGCGATATATGAAAAATGATGTGTTGAATACCAGGGGTTAACATACATTTTTCCTGTTTTTAAAGGACTTATCAACCAGGCAGCAAAGTTGAAATCTCAGATCTAACTTGGGAGCAGAAGGAACAAGTGATCAGGCTGCTCTTTGCTAAAATGAATGGACAGAGTGAAAGGTAAACACCCCCCCACCCCCAATAATTGTATTGTGTTTGTCTGAGAAAAAGGCTCGTTTGTTGCTTGGTCACTCATTAACTTCATCCTAACAAAATACCTCTTGAAATCCCTGAAAATGGACTTTGTGGATCAATTGCCTCTGAAGAACAAAGTGCATTGACACTAAGCACTAGTTCAGGCTGAACTTCTGGTGACTCCTCCCTCATTTTAATGTTATAAACAGCCATTTTCTCAGCAGAAGAGGATACCATAAAACATCAGTTAGGCTTCGACCAATTTTCTTTTCCATCCAGCTGCTTAAAAAGAATGAAGAAAGAAGTCTGGGCACAATAGTAAAAATAGGCCCAGCCACAGAGTCGTGTGCTTGGAAACAAACATCTGGTCACGTCGATTTGCTCTCAGGCCCATTGGCCCCTCTTCACGTGCACTTGCAGTTTATTTTGTTCTTTGAACACTTGTGGCCAGGGAGCAGCTGGTAACATGATTTTCAGAAAGGAGTGCACAGAGGATATGAATGTATGGGGGTACGGCGGGCCAGAGGAGATGTGTATTCATGTTAACAGCGGTCTGGCACCTAGTCCAGCAGAATAACACGGAACATTTGGCAACCCAGTTAGCGGGATAAAAAGTACATGAGCATTGTGTTTACCCAGAGTAACCCCTTTCCAAGACAGTCTGCAGGCCGGAGTGAATAGACACCAGTGTGCTAAAACATGGCTTTTCACTAGTTCTGCATTTAACTGCAACTCTGCATTTTTCCTGATAGGAAAGCCAGCCAACCTCAGCCTCCTCTGAGAAGAAGCCTCATTGACAGCGATGCTGCTGGGTAAGAGACACCAAAGGAATGTACGAGGATAAGAGTCGTACCTCATCCTTGCAATTATGAAGCCTGTTACCGGTGCCACTTTCCATGTTTAGAGGGAAAAGCGTCGGCTGTGAGAACACGACTGCCTGTTTGATTTATTAGACAGTTGCATTTTAGCATTGCTTAATGACGACGACTGTCTTCCAGAATTAGCGAGGAGCTCTCCCCGGCGACCTTCGTCACCCAGGCGCCCGAGCCCGTTCTGCCCTCGAACCCAAACAGCGTGCCGGATATGCCCACCTCTCTGAGGCCTCCACATAGCACATCACACTCTGGATTGTTCGCCTCCGCTTTGTACGTGTCCCACTGAGTGTCAATCATGTGTGTAGTAGAACACAAGATGCTTTGTTGGTGCTCATAAATATCTTAAACATGCATGTATTCAAGGCTTGGTAATATAATAATAATATACAAGATGCAGTGTCTATGGAAACCTTCATTTATGGGGATGAAACTAAAGTGTAAGTAAAGACACAAGGAATTCAATACTGGTGTTGTATTTGAGGAAATGATACAGATCCAATAACATTGCCTCAGCTGTACAGATATTTTGCACTGTTAAAGTCTGATATAAAGTCTTTAAAAAGGGGGATAATTATTAAATATCTTGTATAAATGAACTACTCACATTTAACATAATTAGCAGGGGTGAAAGTAGGCCGGTACTCCATACCATTAAAACCGGGAATAGGGGACAGCAGCGAAGAAATAAAGCGATGAAGGTGGTGGTGGTGGTAGTACCGGTAAGAACTTCAACCCCTATACACAAGTGTCTTTTAAGTAGAAGAGGGGTCTAGATCTTCTGGTGTGTCAGACTTCATCAGCACTTGGATGGAGTATCTAGCGTCCCATGGTGGGCATAGTGACTGCAGGACCTGTCAAGGTGGCATCTTCAGCTTTCCATTGTGAGGTTACAGTTTTGATCTGTGTGTAGAACTGGACTCCCTGTAGAGAAAAAAAAAAAAAAAAAAAAAATACATTTACATCTAAACTTTGATTGCTAGATATGTGCGTTTCTTATACATGCAACAATAGGATGCATTGTTTGTTTCATACTTGTTTTCCGTAGAAGTTCATGTCCCCTCTGAAGGAGCCTCTTGATCCAGTAAAGGAGAACATAGGCAGTGGAACAGGGATGGGAACATTGACTCCGACCTGCAGAAACCAAGGATTTTCCCTTTCATTTCCATAAGTGTAAGTTTTGTAAAACAATTCCTCAGGATCCTAAATTGCTAGGATGAGGTAGACGCGGCTGATGAGAGATGTGGTATATCCATGCTTTTTAAAAAACAAGCTAACATGATCTCACCAAACAAAGATAAACTTGCGGCTTATATTTGCCGGTTTTGAAAGCACAGCATGTTCTTATGAAAGGGAAGAGAAACTAAATAAAACATTTTGTTATGAAGGCAGTAGGGGCAAGGTTGGTCGGTTTAGAATGTTTGAAACAGCGGGAATAGGTTTGGACACACTTAGGCCTTTTGGCGAAGGTGCGGGGAGAAAAAAAAAAAAAAGGGAAAAGTAGATGTTTGTTGCATCGAGGTTTGGAGCGGAGAACAGCACATGGCCTGCACAGCATTCCCCGACATGTGAACAGCAAACACAGGACATAATAACTAAGGCTCCACAGTCAAACAAGCAGGGTAAAGGCTGGCCATATTTACGCTTAATAGGACCTTAGGAATCCCTTTTGAGTTTAATTTAAGATTTCATCGAATACTACCAAGAAAAATGTTTCCATGTTTCTGTTTTCTGTAAACAGACACATATTTGCTGTAGCTATATGTAGTCTTGACTGGTGGTTAAGTGGGGGGAAAGAGGGTTAACGAATGTGTGTATATTAGGTTAAGGACAAACAAGGCTATACTTGACATGGAAAAGAATAGTTTTTTTGTGTGTGTGAAGGTTTTCAAACAGAAATGCGATGTGCTCCCTACTTGAGATGCTGTTTCGACATGACAGATGGATGTGAATGTCTCCTTTCTCTCAAAACAGAGGAACACATTTGGAGGCTGCAGCCACTCACCTGGCCCACGTCCACCTCGTGAGTGTATTTGCGTGCAGTGGCGCCATTTGTGGTGAAGATAGCTGTGCCGTTGCCATAGGGGTTCCTGTTGACCACATTGATGGCATCATCCAGAGTGTCTGCCTCGAGAACAACCAACACGGGCCCGAAGATCTCTTGAGTGTAGCACTTCATCTCAGGCTGGGGGAGCAAAAAACGTGAACATATTTACTGGCAGTTTAGTTTGAGAGTGGTTCTTAATAGTTCTCCCATGCAAATACATAAAGCAGTTAAACCCACGTACTCTGACGTTACCGATGATGGTGGGACCCACAAAGTTGCCGTTCTCGTAACCCTTGACCTTGACGTTTCGGCCATCCAGGAGCAGTTCGGCTCCCTCATCCACACCACTCTGGATCAGACTGCAGACTCTCTCCTTGGCCTGCGGACTGATCAGGGGCCCCACGTCTGCACCAGGCTGGTCTCCTAGCAGGGCCCCAAAAACAACCAGCTGTACCATGGCATTCGCGTGATGTGAGCTCATTAAATTGACACCGACATTCAAATATGTCTTTTGCTACAAACAAGCAAAACCAGGACAAGGGGCGCCCTGAGGCACTCCCTCAAAAATGGATACTTAAGGGTTTCCTGTGCACTACAAAAATAAGAATGCATATCATAGCAAAGAGGGATAATTGTTCTGTATTTTACTCCAAATCAACGTTCTTTCTCAAAGGATTTGATGCTTTAAACCGCCATTTAGTTCTGAGCCGCAGATCTGGCCACAAATTTGCAGCAGGGCTGACTCAACGAGCACTCGCTCCCAGCTGATTCCAATGTGAAGTTACAACATGCCAAAAGGCGAGAGGCTTGGTCAGGGCAGCGTGGGTGGCCACGAGATGACTAAACCAAAAGGCCCTCGGGGGGGGAACGGGGGCTCAGGAGAGAGAGCGGTGAAGGGTGGGGTGACGGGGCGCGGTACCTGCGTTCACGCGCAGAGCCTTGGAGCGCTTGACCAGCTCCGGCAGCCAGCTCCGTGCCTCGCCCACCAGGATGGCTGTGGACAGAGCCATGCAGCGCTGTCCTGCTGCCCCGAACGCTGCACCCACCAGCTGGTTCAGTGTGTTCTCCTTGTTGGCATCAGGCATCACCACACCATGGTTCTTGGCTCCCTACAGTACATGAGAAGCGGTTAGCCTTCTGCTGTGTGATCTCCACATTACAGCAGCTGGCTTAGTCACAAGTGAGAACATCAGGGAATTATATACAAACGACCTAAACATTTTCATATCGTAAATTTGTTCTACATTTGAGTCCTTATGACAGAGGACTGATGGACAATCAGTGATTCACAGCTGCAGTTTCTGTTTTGCAGCTGGCAGTGAGGAGGAGCAAAACCACAACAAGCATCCGTTGGCCAATGCTGCCACCTTCTGGACATTTACAGCAGGTGTCAGACATTTATACACCCGTGTTTGACTCTTACCCTAACTCACCATGTTTGACTCTTATCCTAACTCACCATGTTTGACTCTTATCTTAACTCACCATGTTTGACTGGACCCTCTTGCCCTTTTTGGAGCCCCTCTCGTAAATGTACTCTCCAGCCTGATTGGAGCCAACAAAGCTGATTGCCTTGATGGCCGGATGGTCGCAGATGAAATTCACAGCTGTGGCACAAAGACCGTTATAGAAACTGTATTAACTCAGATATCCTTGATATTTCAAATAATGTGTCAAATTAACGATTACAGAGAAAGTGACAAAAAAAAAAAATATTGAATTTTACGTCCTGGCATGGATTTAGGGCCGCACTCACCTAATAAGTATTTGCATTATTGACTAATCTGCCAAAATATTTAGTTAATAATTAGTGAATCGTTTTGTCTTTACAATGTTCTTTTCTCAGAGCCGAATGAATGGTTTCAGCTCTACTTGAATGTTAGTTTAAAGGGGAATTAAGGGGCATAGATACAAACTGGTGTATTTTTGTCACAAAAAACAACTTTTTTGCCACATAAAAGAACTAGTTAACAAGAAAATGTTAAATAAATAAAAAAAGAGGCTTTGTTGTTTAGTGGCCAGTGATTAGCCTTGTTTAATGAGAAACATCTGCTCTAAATAACAGTTTCATTACCTACACTGCCTTGTATCTACACTAAAGATTCTGACAATGACCAGCTCAAGGTAAGAGACCAACTCTTACCAGCATGTTGGCCGTGGATGATGTTGAGCGACCCGTCTGGAGCACCGGCATCCTGCAGCATCTTTGCCAGCAGCATGGCGCAGGCTGGCACCCGCTCTGATGGCTTCAGCAGGTAGGTGTTGCCGCACACCATGGCCATGGGAAACATCCAGAGAGGGATCATGGCAGGGAAATTGAAGGGTGTGATGCCGGCACACACCCCAAGGGGCAGTCGGTATGTGTGGGTGTCCATGTCCTTGGTGATGGAGGGCAGGGTTTCACCGAGCATCAGAGAGGTGACGCTGCAGGCATGCTCCACAACCTCTGCAAAGAAAAGAGATGTTGCCCTCTGTAAAGGTGTGTGCACATATGTGTGTGAGGGTGATACACTTACGCAAGCCTCTGAATACATCCCCCTCTGCATCTGCAAGGGTTTTGCCTTGTTCCACTGTGATGGCCTTGGCAAGTTCTCTCTGGAACACAAGATGACCCTCATGTCAGTCCTTTGTTCTCAGCTTTAGATTTAATATCATCTAAACTACAGACGTAGTATTTTAAAATGTAAACAGCAGGCTCTGAACTAATGTGGAAAGGTTAAAAACGCTGATTTGCAAAAAGAAGTCAAATGTGACAGTTCAACTAAATAGAATCAAACTGAACAGTGCTAAAAAGTGCACTCTTGTTTTCAGTTGCAACTTTCTGACCCGTTTGACTTACAATGTTGCCCTTGATCAGCTGCTGATAGCGCAGAAAGACCTGCTGCCGATTCAAGATGGAGGTCTCAGACCAGGAGAGAAAGGCTCTGGAGCACGAGTCCACAGCAGCCGACATCTCTTCCTGGGTGGCTTTGGGTACACGGGCGATCACCACGTTGGTAGCCTGCAGAGGAGAAAATAAGGATGAGTAACTTTACTTTAATACACCAAAGATAACTTGGCTTTAATCAGCAGGGGCCGTTTGAGTTCACCAAACCTTAGGTAACACGGGAATCCTAGCAGATGTTTAACTAAGATATGTGGACTTTCAAAAATCTGCCGGTCAAAGTTCATCAGAAACAAATCATTTTGGCTTTGAGCCATATCTGAGCTACTAAACCACAGCGAAGCCTTCCAGCTGAAGCCGGATACATCTAACCCAACTAGGTGGAGGTTACCACGATAAGTGCACCATTTCTCGATCCAGTCCAGATGAAATACTTACAGGGTTGTGAATATCCAGCCATTCTGATGTTTTGGATTCAACAAACTTCCCATCAATGAACAGCTTGGTGGTTGGCTGTGAGGAGAGACGCAACGTGTTCATGTGTTTTCCTTTACAGTTGCTGTTAAGTGTAATAGCAGTCTGACAATTAACTGTACACTGCGCTCAACTCACCACTGAGGAGGAGTAGCACATGCGGCCAAGTTTAAGTGGAACCTAAGAAAGAAACCAAGCAGGGAGTCTGAATGAAATCAGCAAACGCATTATTAATCTGTCCAGAAGCTATAATTGTAGTTTTGGTTTACATAATTTGTAACACATTAAAGAAGCAAAACCAGCAATTTTCCAATTGCAGCCTACCCTGAAAGCATGCAAGAATAATGAGCAACCACAAAGTGTGGAATAAAAAGGCTTCAGGTCAACTAATTAAGTCAATCTGACTGGAGTGGAAGAATAAATGCAGTCCAGCCAATAGAGTGAGAAGTCTTTAGTGGTTGAAATATACAGAATAGCTGAAGTCGGCCACTTGTTTCATACTATAAATCAGTTCATACGCCTACAGTCACGCAGAATATCCTCTGAAGAGAAGAAACAAGTGAAGTTAATCCCATCTGTGAAAAATAAAATCTGTCTGTAAAACAGATTAATTGTTTATATAGCGGTGTGTTATTGCTTCTGTTGCTGTTTTTACCATGTAAAGTGCATTTGAGTACCTTTTATAGCGCTACATAAATAAAATGTATTATCATTAGACCAACCCAGACGTAAATCCTGCAGCACATGACACCTTGCACTGATAAACAACGTGAGCTGTCAAACCTGCCTGTGTCATTTCCACTTTTAAAACTGTAAAACTTTTGAACCTTACCTTAGCCTTTAGTACTGATCTTAACGCTGTTGTCGCCATTGTGGGAATTATTAATTTATTGAATGTACGTAGAACTACTTTATTTAACCAACTCCGCAGGTGGCCAGCCGAGCCGAGGACAACATTGACAGGGTTTAACTTGTCCGTCACGGAAATGTATTACCTGTAGGGCGGGCTCTGAACAAATCCGAGGCTTGCTATTCGCTACATGTTAGAACGCCCATAAAGAACGCGGCCTAATTGGTCAACTGTGGGGACGTTCCATCCAATCGCGAGTTGACGTTTTAGATAATCCCGCCTTATACGTAGAACTCGGCTAACCATTGGATGAAATACCTTTCACTCTTCCACGTGCTGGCTGGAAGTTATTTTTTTCTTAGTGCAACCCAGAGCTGAACTGTGACCAAGATCTTTGCTAAAACTGGCTTTAGTCAGGCTGAGAGCTATGTCCGTGTGACATTAGTGAACGTACAATGCTTTGCTGGGAAATGTGAAAGCCATAATCGATGTCTCATTGAGCAACACAGCTCATCTTTAGCTTAACGATATCACAGCCACAACAATGCACTTGTCCTTAGTGTTCCTCGCCAAGGTACTGTAATGACATTGTTAGCCGTTTGCTAAGAGTGTGTGTGTGTGTGTGTGTGTGTGCGCGCGTGCACTTAATGTGAACCATATGACGGACAGATATTGCTCATGGACCAAAGAGTAGGTAGGAGGGATTTTAGGAGCACCTCCTATTGGCTGCTGGAGATGTGAAACTGTAGAAAAACGGTCCGCAATAGTTTATTCTGTCTAGTTAAGGACAAACTTGAGCAAAAACAGCTATGGCATCTCATACTAAGGTGAACCAGTTGACACAAGACATTTTAACTTAACGTTATGTCCAAGGAGACTGAAGTGTTTTCAAATGGACTGACCGTGGTCTGTTTTGTTCTGCTTCCATACAGCCTGTTCTTCATGGATACTTCAGAAGTTCCTGCTCCTGGAGGGTTCGCATTGGTAAGTCATGCCACATCATCCGACTACTTAGCTGTTACTTAAAGCATTTCAATGGCAACAATTTCATAATTTGCATTTTGTGCATCAGCTTTTGCTCTCAAAGGTATTGAATATGACCAGGTTCCAGTCAATCTCATCAAAGATGGAGGTCAGCAGGTACAGTATAGATTCCCAGGATCAATATCAGTGCAGAAATGTCATACTGTAGCCTGCATGAGGCACTGGGCAGTCAATGTCAATCCTGTATCTGTCTCACAATTGTTCTCCATGTGCTCAAGCTTACTGAACAGTACAAGAAATTAAACCCTATGCTACAAGTGCCTGCAGTTGAAATTGATGGCATCACCCTTTGTCAGTCAGTAAGTCCCCAAACTCTTCACCCATGCAATCATATAAACCACGTTTTAGTTAACCAACTTAAATACTACCGACAGTGGTTTCTTACCCACACAGCTGGCTGTGATCCAATACGTCGATGAGACCAGGCCAGGGCCTCGGCTTCTGCCCGCAGACCCAAAGAAACGTGCCCAGGTCCGGATGATAAGTGATGTCATTGCCTCTGGGATACAGCCTCTGCAGGTGAGAACAGCACAGTCACAATGATTAAGAGTCAGACTGTAGCTGGCAGTTCCAACAGGCTGCAGGTGTGACATGATACAAAAATACAGTCTCAGCGCATATAACCTCACAATATTAATTCCTGGATGTTTCAGAATTTGCACGTGATTCAGAAAATCGGAGCAGAAAAGGTGCAGTGGGCTCAGCACTTCATTGATCGCGGATTTCAAGGTAGGTGGAAGCCTGTACATCCTCAGCATTCATCACTCGACGTCCTTTGCAATATGATTATGTACCTTTTCCTTTCCAGCTCTTGAGCCCATTCTGAAGCAAACAGCGGGGAAATACTGTGTAGGTGATGAGGTAAGAGGCATGGCTATCATTACAGCATGGCGACGGCGTGATATACAGCAGATATTTTTTTTAGACTCATTGCTTTGTTTACCTTTCAGATATCCATGGCAGACATCTGTCTGGTCCCACAAGTCTACAATGCAGAGAGGTATGCAATCAGACAATTCATAAAAACTGCAACTTAAACACCTCATTAACACTCAGGTCACCCTGAACAAAGAGAACATGAATTTAGATTTGTTTATTTACCCTTTGTTTAAATGAAACCACCTGCTTTGCTTAACCTGCTGAACTTAACTCACCCTCTCGTCTTTCATCTCCACAGGTTCAAAGTGGATGTCGGGCAGTATCCAACCATTGACAGGTTAAACCAAACCTTACTGGAGATTGAAGCTTTCAAAGTGACGAACCCATCGTGTCAGCCAGACACACCTGCTGATCTGCGTGCATAGAATACCTCCGCAGCTTTATTGACAGCCATGCCACTTTCTGCATAGTTAAATAAAATGCTCTGAAAATGATCCAATTTTTGAGTGTCGTTACTTTCAATAACAAGAAAACTTCATTTAAAAATATTTATTGGCTTTTTGACATACATTTTTACTTTACCCTCAAATACATACCGACATGTGGGGACAAAGGAAGGGGACATATAGTAATGCGTACAACATGCAGATCAGAGATTTGTTATGCAAAGTGCAAAACCTCTGAGCTCACCATTACCAGTGTGGAGGAAGTATGATTATTTAAAAGACTCATACGAGGAATAAAAGACGACAACCATAAATGTCTAAGATGCAGATTACATCATGCAACAATTATAAAACATTAAAAACAAAACAAGACTTTTACAGTTATTTGTCAGGCAGATCACAGACTCCACCATTAAAAAATAAATGGTAAAAACAATTGTCCTGAATGAATTCCCCCCCCCCCCAATCACTTGTCACCAGGAATCTCCACTGTGCACTTGACCGTGTCGTTGTAGAAGGTACCGGAGCAGTCTGATCCACCAAACACCAGCAACGTGCAGAGGACACTGACATCGTCACCCCGTTCATGCTTCTCTGCATCCGTCAGGATGGAGCAGCCCGAGTTTATCATGCTGTGTCCGGCACGAGGCTTTGAGCAAAGCACAGGAGACACCACTGGGCTCCACATGTTTGTGTCTAAAAAAGGAGAAATCAAAGCACGAGGAGTCACTGCACACAAGAGTGGATCACATGACTGACACTAACCTGACTGAACAATTATAGACTAAAGCGGATCACACCGATATAGTCTTAACTATATAGTCAGACTGAAGTGGCACAAGGGATGTACTCACCAGTGTTGAAAATATGTACATCCTGCAGGGCTCCAATTGCACTGCAACCTCCACTGACTAAAATCCGGTTGTTTGAAACTGGTAGAGCTGCATGAAACCTGTCCACGTACAGACAAGGACATTTTCACATGTACCAATATCCTATTAAAGCCGGTCTACATAATATTTAAGCCACTTACTGTTATTTCATATAGAGCTAAATAAAGATGGCATTTTGTCACGAGATGATCTGTTAAAACCGATTAGATTCAAATGCAGTTATGTCTGTCAGAAGACACCAAAAATATAAAAACCAGATGGCTACGCCGAGGACATTTCTCAAGGTTGATTAGTTCTGTACTCACCCTCGAGGCAGGGGTGGCATGTTGCCACACTTCACAGCTGTGTATTCCATGAATCCTTCACTCATAAAGAAATTTAAAAAACGTAATATCAGTTTAAATCTGGACACAAAGTTGATGTCTAATGCAGCTACAGAATCTTCATCTTACCCAGATCCAGAACATGGAGGTCATTAAGGTAGGTAGCTGTCTTGCGTCCACCAAATATTATCAACTTCTGTGACATCAGTGTGGCTGAGTGTCTGTTTGACACAAACATGGCATCAATATTTAAAAAAAGAGGGGGGAAAAAAACTGTATTTGGATGACAGTAAATCTATTGTAGTAGTTTGGAAAAGAAGACTGACCCAAACCGAGGCAGAGGTCTGTCCCCCTCCACAATGGGCTGGTACCAGAGCTCAAACTCTGGGTTAAAGATGTACAGAGCATTGCTGCAGGATTTATCCAACACGGAATGACTTGGCTGAACTCCACCGAAGACAAAGAGCTCTTTCTTATAAAAGGCAGCAGAATGATATGCCAAATGTGGGACATTCCCTTTCGCCTAAAGGGAGGTTGATTCACAAAAGCAGACCAAAAAGAAAACATTTTCAATACCTCCGCTTGAGAATTTTGATAGGAAATCGAAGACTGCAAACATGTTACTAACAAACCCACAGTAACAAGCTTCCACTTCCAGGTCAGGGTATTTAGGATGTACAGCTCGCTGTAGCGCTGACCCTCCCTCAGGCCGCCGTACACAAAGACCGCCTTAGAGTTCGGGTCATAGGTCGCAGAGTGTCCTCGGGCACACGGTGGTACGGGTCCAGAGACAGAGGAGGTCATGGGGAACCAGAAGTCATTGTCTGGAAAGAGCACGTGTTCAGTATAAATGCAATCAACGTGCAAATGTTTTAGGGCTTCCTATTTGGCCTACACAAGTAATTCAACAAACTCCACTGACCCAACTCGAGCTTCCACAGAGAGTCCTCGCAGTAGTTTTGATCCGCACTCTCCCCTCCAATGAGGATGGCGGTGTCAGGGTCACTCAGACACATCGTATGGCTCCAGCGCTTTGATGGAGACACTGAAACTAAATCCAGAGGTCTGTCAGAACCCCATTGTGTGCATTCAGACAGGACCGCAGCAGCTGTTAAGTTTTCTAACCTCTGTTCTCATTCTTTATCTGCACAGTCAGCTCCTCTTTGCTGTTCATTCTGGACAGCCTCATTTTCTTGGCGGTGGAAGCCTGGTCTGTGTCCTGTGTGAGACTGTCCATGTCCTCAGTGCTCCATGTCAGGCGGCCTCTCTTACTAATAACAGTCCGTCTGGGTGTCTTATCCTTTCAGTTGCAGAGTACATCACAGAATAAGTCACATACCCGTACATGCAGACAACAGTCTTAAGCAGGACTCTTACCGTCGGCCAAACTGGGGGTTTACTTCTCACAGTGGAATCGCTGGTGTCAATTGTATTCACTTGAACGTCAGCATAGCAAACACTGTCGGCCAAGTGTGAGGAGTTGAGGGTTATCTGCAAGGCAGGACACATAATTAAATGTTGCAACAAACGTAGATAACGGACAAACAATTTTAACCTCATTCATCTCACCGTTTCATTCCCAGCGCTTTGGAGTATCGTGCTAGACAGATCAGTGGCATCCTGCTGTTCTTGGAACAGACATTTCCTTTGAACCAGAGGTGTGCTGCTGAAGACACTGGCTTCATCTAGCGGCTGGTCACAAGTCTTTGCATGAAACACAAACAGTGACAATATGATCCAGGAAGCCAATATTTATATTGTTAGGTATACGAGATAGAGTATGTTTTAAAATATCTGTCTTCCTTAAAAGCAGCAACATTAACTGGGGACAGTAAATACAAACCCTCCTACCTCTCCACACATGGTGAGAATAATCTTGCCATAAACTCCTCTCCTGCCTCTCTCCGCTGCCACCGTGACAATGTCAGCGCTCCAGTCACCCTCCCAGGTCAAGCACCTGAATTCAAAGGTTGTTTTTTTTAACCAATTTAGTCTATATGTTGTGCACCTAACGCAGTTCCTTCACACACCTTGCTTGAGCCGAGAGAGTCCCTATTTTCTGTGCCGGTACTTCTGCACTGACCAGGACATCTACTGAGATTGTAGTCTCGCTGCATTTCCATTCTCCGAGACCAAAGATGACCAGGTGTTTGGGAAGAGGCAGTGGGATGTGCACTTGAAAGCAACTTCTGTTGGATTTCCTGCAGAGGGCGAGACCGCGTGTTTGAATTGTTGCGTCAGTGTGAAAACAGAATTATTATTATTTTTAAAAGCCTACCTGATGAACTGGCGGGGGGCGTCACGCAGGGACCAAAGGACATAAAAATTCAACCTCCCCATGTCTTTCCAGGTCGCCTTCAAAAAGTTCAATGCACGAGCAGCAGCTGGCATTACTTTGGTGCAACCTGGAGCTCCGGTAATCACTTCTGATTGGCTGATTCGAGCTCGAGGCCGTCGAGAAAACGCACAGCTGAGACCGCAGCACTGTTGATTTTCTAATTAACCAGCTTATCCATCGTTAAACACCTGCGTGGTTTGGCTAGGTGTTATTGAACAGATATTTTTGAAACAATGCACGATTCGTACACTCAAATAACAAAAAGGTATATCTTTTTATGCGTTTTGTCTGATTGCCTTGTCAGCTAACGTTAAGTGGAATTACTAAAAGCAGACAGTTTATTTTTTACCAGTATATCACCACGTTCATGCCTTTCAATTTTTCTGAGGGAAAAACACAGCCATATATTTTTAATAAGCTTGTAAGTTTAGTTTATGGTTGGCTATGTCAAGATAATTGTTTATTCACTGATATGGTCATTTCTGTGGCTGTGGTTGTTTGTGGTTATTCTGATTGTTGATAAATGAAAAACAGCATTTTGCTTTATTAATTAAACAAATCATTGTTAAAGAAACAGAATGAAGCCCAAAATGATTTACAAATATAAATAAATGATTAGTCAAAAATATCACTGAATGCACCAAACAATAAATACATCATTAAGATGCAGATCATTACAACACCACCTCAAACTACATACTCAATTATTGGCTGACTGCACATGTGTAGATAATATATTCATAACAGTATATCTGGAAAAAATATCTGCAAAAAGTATCAAGACAATCGATAAGTTACTGCATATCTCCTGTCCACACCTTTTAAAATGATCAAATCAGAGTCTACTGGAGTGGCATCGTACAGAACAATTTAGGAACATCATGTAAAATGTGAGGGACCCTAGATGTTACTCAGGAGTCTGACTGGCCTTTAGGGAGAGCTGAAAATAAAACCTGGTTTCATCAGCACTTCTGTAACAATTACATCAATCCCCTAATGCCATAATTTGATGGAAACACGGGGGACCAGCTTCCTAATCCTGGATCAGCAATGAGACTGTTATGAGATGATGGCGTCTCAAGACACATTTACTTGAGGGACTACACACACACCAGCGGTCTTAATGACATGTCTTCAGTGTCATTTTGCAATGTTTACCTGCTCTTCAGTTTCCAAACTATTATCTACTAATCACAGTTTCCAATATGTTTGATCCAATTCTCAAATGAATCAAAAAGAAAACTAGTCAATCTTCTCTTTATTGTGGAATATAAATTTCAGGAACAAATGTCATGACGTACAGTAAAAGGTACAGTTCAGCAGACATGGGAAGTAGTAAACCAGTTGCTTTACATTGTATACAGCATTAGCAGTCCGAGACATCTTTGGGAACATGCACACAAGTGAGTTTGGTAGAGTCATCGATTTTAGAAACCGGATGGAAACAAAGCAACGCAATCAAAAGTATGCCGAATGCACCGGGGAGATTCAAAAACAAACACTGACCTTTACTTACATAGACCTGTGCACAAAATGCATTTGGATGAAATATTACAGCCGCTCGCTTCCTCTGAATCAGTAAATTAAAAGGGAGAGAGGGCGACTGTAAATATTGAATCTATATTACATAATAAGAGCTTTGTGTGATAAGGGATGGCTTTTATTTGTGTCATAAAAAAAGCACACTCTGGTAAACTGTTACCACGTGCTTCAGTACATTCAACTTCTATACCTTTTAACAACACACCACGATGACAGTAGACAACTCTGTGCATTGTATTATATAATCATATTCTCCATTATCACGTGATATAATTTGACACAGATAAAAAAAAATAAGTTACAACACAAAGAAGAAGGATAAATACACTGAACAACAAAACATAATCATAGAAGGTGTACGCTCACAGTACACACACACAACAAATTCTTTAGAGCGCTGCTGATTAAGCACCTGGTGAAATTAATTCTGTGCAGGTGTTCCCTGATCACTGCTACCATTGAAATATCTCAGCTGAAGACAAATAATGTTAAATGACGGACACTTGACCGAATAGCACAGTGCTTACACAGGGACATGGCACATTATGCAAGGGTTCTTCAAATATCCATCAGTAAGACATCGGAGCAGATGTTGCATTCAAAACCATCCGATTGCGACTTCAACATGTGGCAACACAAGCCGACAGTGCTAAAAATAGATATGCTTCTATTTAACCTTTTATATAATAACTATCTTTTTCAAAGTACTGAATCAAAAATAGTTCATCGGTCTTACGAGTAGTATTTTTCTTTAAAGTCTACATTCTTAAAGTGGCATCTCAGGCACTGTAATAAACTCTGTAGTAAAGAGTTTTATTTCGCCATAGAGAGTAGGAGTTATCAAACTTCAGCAGGTAAGTGCCTTCACCTGGAAAATCGTGGCTCCCCCCCTGGACGGTTGTGTGACTGTCCTGGCGGTATACGGGTACGATTTCAGCCAAGTTTGAGTTGGTTTGACTTTTGGAGCCCTTCTCAACATCTCCGTTACCGACGGGCCCTGCAACAGGAATCACATAAAGCACAAAGTCAAACACCCTGCCTCAGGTCCCAGCTGGAGGAAAACGTATAAAAACACAACTACGGTGTGCTTTGTAGATACTGAACGACTGATATGTTTTATAGAATGATACATTTAGGCCGCTTTACACTCTGAATTGCAAACCCTACAGTAACTGACCTCCCAGCTCCTCCTCTTCGTCTTCGTCATCACTTGACTCGCTGATGTGCACGGTGATGGACCGGCTTGTGACAGGAGTCCAGTCAAAATATATGCCAAAGCCAATGTCATAACCGTCTGTAGCAAACTCCCAGCACACTTTTTTGGCCTCGGGGACAGTGGGCACGTGGACCGTCATGATGTCGCCTCGGTACACCGTCACCACGCTGTCGTCCTCCGTTTGAAGTCTTGCTTTCAGCTCCTTCACTGCAGCAGATGTCCACGTTGTTGGGGGTGTCAGGGGCGGCATCTGGGCTGCCGTCAGGGGCGGCATCTGGGCTGCCGTCAGGAGGCACAAAATGGCAATGTGTCCACACAGAGCATAACGGCAAATTTGATAATCATTTATCTGGCTTATATAAACCTGAGGTTTTTAAAGCTTGTATCAAAAGATTTATGATAAAACAAAGCAGCAGTTATGATGGCACACTCTGCAGGCCCTCACCTTTCATCTCAGCGGAGAGCTGACAACTCCCAGCACTGTTGTTCTCCTCGCCTCCTTCCCCCGGGGCCAGCTCTGCAGGGGCCAGCTCTGCAGGGGCCACTGCATTACCCTCAAAAAAGCACACAAACACAACACTGATATTATAGCTGAGAAATCATATCCTATTGCACTTCCCTGTTTATTGCCAGTCATTGACAGCTCGTCCAACACACTTAAATATTAAATACCTCAGAATGTTGCCCTGAGTCCCCCTTGGTTTCCTCCATATCAGCTTGGTTTTTGGATTGGGTGCAGCTCTGTGAAAGGTCTGTGTTGGGGAGCCTGAGGAGCAGATGGTATACCAGCAGAAAAAAAAAAGACATCACAATATATAAACAGAGAAGACATTCAGGATGCAAGGAGTAAAACTAGCAACGCGTTTCCTTAAAGTCGCTGTCTAAGCGGCACTTTCTGCAGCAACAGGCTACCTGTCCAGCGGTCTGTTGTCGCTCTGTTTGGCTGTTATTCCCGGGAACGAGGAGAAGGAGAGGGACGACAGCCGTGACTGGAGCTTTGATGTAGTTTCTAATCTCTCCATGGCTGTAAAGGCAAGACAAACACCTCAGTCTGCGTGGCTAAAAAAGATGAAACCCCGCCCCTACCAGTAACCTCAGGGAGGGAGAGACAGACGACACCGAAATTAGCCTCATAACACTGTCCGGATAAACTAACTAAACAAACTGTAACAATAACGGACTGTTTTAACAACAGTACGAAAATGGAAAATTAGCAGCCAACGCCAGAGGAGCGACTAGTGTCACGTTATGCGAGGCTCTACTACAGCATCAACCTCTGGCTTTAACTTTAGCTGGGAGGCTAGCTAGTTAGCTCACATGAGCTAACGCTGTCGAGCAGGCAGAGAGAAGTAGAGCCGAAGAAGCTGCGGCCACACCAGACACAACTTTATCTCACCACAATGTAACGCCGGTAGTCTGGTGCAGCGATACGATGGTACTTTAGTCCAATTTAGGCCATATCGCCGCGATCACGTAACGGGTCTCTCTCCACGGCGATGCTGCTTCAGGAAAAGCAGTCCCGAGTTGTTTGACACTTCCGCGTTTTCTCGAGCGTTGACGAAAATCTGCGAATCTCAAGCGTCGAGATTGTGTTGAAGAAGTTTTACACCATGTCTACGTTGTTCAGATATTTTAGTTCCACAGATTATGTATGAAATACAACCCTTAAAAATACAGCTGTCACAAAACACCGTTGAGGCCTATTTATTGAAAAATGAATCTTATTACATCACAATTTTCAAAACAAAATGTGCAACATACAAACACGCTTTACGTATAGGCCCATGTGCTGGACATCCTTGGAAAATCAGTTAAGTTTCACATTACTGTAACTGTCTGATTTGGTTTGCATAGCAGTGATTTGTATGCCGCAGAGATGCACTGTTGCATAGGTTTGCTGCTTGATAGAAAGCACAGCAGTGGTGTCTCCTCGGTCTGGGCATCAGTGAGAGAAATCCAGGGGAAAGGACTTTGGAAAAAACAAAAACGTTTGATCAGGTTAAACATGACAGAAATGTATATATATATAAATATATATTCTTAGTGTTCCACTCACTCCTCTGTGTGAAGGGAGGATGCATGTGATGCACTGATGAAACTGTGTGCATCTAATTCCACAGCGTGTGGACACTTCTCTTTCAGGACGGTGTTGATAAGAGAGAGAGCATCACTGGATCCCAGACTGGCAGAGGTGCAGATATTTAGCAGGCTGTACAACACTGCACTCACCCAGTTCAGACCCACAGAAATGCCACCTAAATATGGGAATCACAAGTCAGCTTAAATATAAAGAATGTCAAATCAAGAGTGAAGCCTTGCTGCACCAAATTCCAAATGCTCTCCCTTACATCTTATAAAACAGCTCTAAAGAAAAAGAAGTCTGCAATAATGAAACATGGCATACCGGTCATTGTAACAGGACACGATGCCTCTATCAGTAAAGGATCTGTCAAAGCCGTGGTCAGATGAGTGCAAGACAGCCACACATCTGCAGTGTCACAAGCCACAAAGTCATACTGTGGTTTGAGGATGAAGTCGTGTCCAAGAAGCTGAGCCAATCTGAAATAGAAGATCAAAAGAGAGGGATTCAGTGACTGAAAATCAACAATGCTGCATGTGTATGAGTGTGTACCCGGAGTACCTGGTGACGGGCACACCAGAGATGAAGCTGTACACAAGGCAGCGCTTGGACAGGTGAGAGCGGAGATCAGCACAGACTTTGTGGAGGTGAGAGGGCAGACAGCAGAGGAACAGGACGTCTGCCCATGCTGCCAGTCTGCGATTGTCAAAGAAACATTCAACTCCTGTCTCGATAAATTCCACTGAAAAAAAAAAAGAAGCAACAAAGGCAAACACAAGGACGACTTCTTCAGTATACAAGGAAGCAAAGCTGAAGGGGAAACTTTTATGACACACAGTCCTTTTCACTTGCAGGATAGAAAACATAAGGCAGTTCCAGTCTAATGTGTTATTTCACACACTGGCTGATTTAGTGAGTTTCACTGCATCATAACTGCTATTTAACATTGATTTGGACTTTCAAGGGTCTTTAAGTGTACCTGCAGACTCTGGTCTTCTACTGGAGATCTTAATGTGTGATGGTTTCACCCCAGACTTTTCAAGGAGGGCGAGGAGCAGCTGTTTCCCCATGTGACCCATCCCAAGTATCCCAATGCACATGTCACTGTCTCCTGATGCCAACGAGCCTCTGTCCACAGAGGGACACTTGATGGTGCATCTGTTAATGGTAATCATACAGAATGACTTCGAGCAGTAGCATTAAGTATGGTCAAAGTTAGTGTTAAGTCCTTCCTGTGTGTCACAGATACTCAAAAATAGACCCACAGATAAAATACCTCAGTGAGTGGACCAGTTTGCAAAGGAAAGCTGCGTGCGCGCACCCGCAAAACGTCAGTCCAGTCGAGCGTGCACGAAGGTAAAGAAACTCTTTCTCGTCTTCAGTTAGTTCGGCCTCAAAAGAAAGACTGCTCAAATCAGCAGCTACGTCCACCATCGCCTCAGAGTTTCGACAGGAGTCAAATGTGCAAAGGGTGTATCGTGACAAGGTTCACAATATTGTAAAATGTGCCTGGTCCTCTTGTTTCCATGGCAAAAGAACAACTTCCGATTTAACGGCTCACATATTTCAAAATAAAATTCCTGCCGACAAACTTTGCGTGTTGTTTTTAGGATACAAGCACAAAATTAAAAAAAAAACACACACTACTCAGATTCAACAGTTTTTATTTCCCTTTCATGCTTTTAATACAAATTCAACTGTACACTTATGTACAACAAATATTATGCTGTCCACATAAACAAGAAAATGGGCAAATCAAATGTCTGCAACACAGCATATCAAGTCGAATATCAATATTCAAACATACAACAAAAAAACCGACAATTGTGCAAGATATTAAGACTTTGCTTCAAGATTGAGTAAATACAAGTTTGTCAACAACTTGCAAATGTGAGCACAGACCGACACAATAAAACATTTGAAACCAATTTTAAAATTTAAAAGCAGCTTTTCAGAACAGCAGCTTTTGTGAAGTCACAACATTGATCACAGCTCAAAATAAAATTATGAAAATTTATAACTAATTTGGATAGTCTTCCCATCTGTCATTATTTTGACTTAGTCACTTAATAACAGAACTTTACACAGCTGTAACACATTCAGTTTCTATACTTCTTCTATATTTGCATGAAATGTTAACCATCAGGAATATTTACAGTAAATAAAGCCCACATACAGCACATTATAAACATTAAGGGTCATTACACCTATACCATTAGTGTTTGTTGACACGATTAGAGAACGTAACTACACAACTTGTAAACACAGCTGCTTGAGAATTAATCAAATGTGCCTATTTGTTCATTGTTATTTGATATTTATAACGCTGTTGTCTATCCTAAAACAAATCAAAAGACATATAGATGTGGCTTATAATTCATTACTCTTCATACATTCTTTGATTAAACAATGCTGATAACCATGAAGGCACTGTGAGGGAACTGGTTAGCTGACACAAGCTGAATCACAGTAGCTCAAATTGCCACAAAATGAACAGTAATGTATTTATACCAGGGCTGTATGTGCACATCTGTGTTCCTCTTTCAAAGAAAGTTGAACACACTTTCCAGCTGTTGCTTCTATGCAGTCATGGTTTCAGACAGGTACCATATGGCAAGAAGAATTATTCCTCGCCCTGCCTCCATTTCTGAGACTCCTCCTGCCGTGCGTCAGGGTGAATCTGGTTCCTCATTCCACCCAAGACATTGGAGGTGGCTTCAGTGGCCATAATGAGTGGCTTTACGACTGCTGGTGGCAGCTGGCGGAGAACGCCACCCACTGCCCCCGTCATCCCACGCTGTTCATGCTCCCTGGTGGCTGTGTCATAGATGGTCAGTGCTGTGTCTGTGATGCCCTGTGGATGGAAACAAAATCCTCATTAGGGTTTTTTTCCATCACTGTAATTGAAGTGAAAACATTGATCATTTTAGCTGTTGGTGTGTTTACCTCTTTTACAACAGTATAGGCTTTGGCTACACCTTCTCTCAGGTCAACGGGCTGATGAGCCAGTCCGTAATGGGAGAACCGTTTTACCCTCTTTGTGTCCCTCTCATCAGGCACTGGAGACACCATGTCATAGGCCGTTTCAGCTGCTGCCTAAAATGACACACAACAATAAATTCGTCAAATGTCTCATGAATTGGTATTCTGCAGACGTTTTTAGTAACAGCGGAACGACGACTTTACCTGGATGGTCCGCACCATCCTGTTGGTGAGCTCCAGAGCAGCCATAGCAGTAGAAGTTCCAAAGGAGGCGGTGCCGCGCTGAAACCCACGGACTATCCGGCCATCTTTCCTGTACTGCTCAATCGGGAGCCAGACCAAGTCCCTGAATCCCTGAACTGAACACGACAGAACAGAACATGCATCTTAAGAACAGGCAATACATTACACGAAAGATGCACCTGAATCGGGGGTATTTCTCACACACAGACACACAGTTTTTTAGAATATGTATTGTACTCACCTAGTTGCACCAGAGAGTGAATAGGTCCCACACCACCCAGTAGTCCTGGAAGCTGGTTCTTCTTTATGTCGCTTAGCCACTCGTTTATTGCATAGGAAAACAGCTTATCAACACCCAATAATCTGAAACACAGACAAATATTAGTTTCCTGGGAAAGATATTCGATTCTCTGACGGTATTACACACTTGATAGAGATAAATCATTTATCGTTGTGTGTAAAAGAAATGTGCTCTATTACCTGCTGAATCAAAGATATCAAATAATAAGCGTCACGGTCTGATATGATGCATCACTCAGATAAACATACCCTTGTCTATAGCACAAGCGCCTCAGTTTCAGCTCTGAACAATTAAGCTGTGTCAACCCGATAATGATCCCTGCAAATGTTCCCTGTAAGAGAGCAGTCATAAGATCATTCATAAAGCACAAGTGAAATAATGTGGAATTAGTACACATGCCTCTTAGACCATGTACCTGCTCCATTGCAACATGTTTCCCATGGTAATCCAAGCGAATGGGAACCTCAGAGGTAAACCGAAATTCCCTTTTAGAAAAAGCAAATGTTACCAAACACAAACAAGCAATGAAATGATTTCCTCAAAAGGGGGGTTTCCTTGTTTAGTTATTTAACGCGGACCTAAAAAAGATCGGTTGGTCTGTGAAAGAAGGAGCAGTGGCTTCATTGTCGTTCGCTTCCTCCCGACCAGATGTGCAGAAACCGTTGTGGCTCAAACGTCTCTGAGCAGGCACTGAGATGATTGGAGCCGGGTTCTGGCTGCCGCTGGCGTGCTTGGAGAAACTGCAGGTGATCTCTGGGACAGCCGCTTTTTTTGTGGAAACACAGACAGCTGCAGAACAAAATAGTATCAGGAGCCAGTATGTTCAAGTGTCACCGCCCACGCTCGGTGTGCAAGGCTGTATGTTTGATTCTGTTCCAGTTCAAGGCACTTGTGAATAATACATTTTACCTTCTTGAGCAGGCGGTGAGAAAAACTCAACTTCAGTAGCAAGACTTGTGAAGAAGTCCTTCAAGAAGAACAGTGCATCCTTCAAAACAAACAAAAAACAAGGCCGTCACTTAAATGTTACTGAGGGATGCTGATCCGCATCTTTGATAAAATCATCTGTATCAAAGACTTTTACCTGATCAATATTGAGGCGAAGAGGCATCAGGGAAACACGCAAACAGCACTCCTGGGGAGCCTGGCCTGACTCAGGACACATGTGCAGCGCCTTAACTGTCAACTAAGACCGAAAGCACACAAGAAGTTACACAAGGCGAAGACTTGACCGCATTAACGTGAGTGTGTTGCCTTCCTCACCATGTTAGAATGAGCTTTTCTGGGCATTTCCTTGCTAGAATACAAGTAGAGGAACTTGTTCATCTGTGAAGTAGCCAGTCTGTCTCGAATCTCCAAGTCCTGCACAATAAACACCTGTCGGGAGACTGGCTGGTCCGTTGCTGGTTCAGAAGCCACCTGGCCCTGCGGGTACACCTCATGCTGAAATCTCACCTGGGGAGAAGGTCAAAGAAAAGCTGGTAAATGGTGAAAAAATGACCGAATGTATTTAGTTGATCTGTTCGAGAGTAACATAATAAAAATGTATTCCAGGCAAAGAGGAACTGTACTTTGCTGAGCTGTATCTCCATCAGGACGTCAGGGTTCCTTCCTCTTCCACCTCCTGCCCGTCCTGAAGCCTTGGCCTGTCTGACTGGAGTCTGAGACGGGGAGCTATGGGGTGTAGACCTGCAAACGGGAGACAGGGACACAAATTACACACGTCTGTTTCCCTTTGAGCACATTCTAAACAGTGTGTGAACATAGTGAATGGCTCACCCCCGGCTTCTAGCAGGAGAGGCTGTGAAAGTGCCACTCCCAAAGTCCTTCCCACCATAGAGGTGCCAGATGACAGAGATCTCCTTGATGAGGTAGCGCACCTCTGGGATGGGAAAGTTCACGGCTCCTCGGCTGGAATCGCTTCCATCTAGAGGCTGACTGAAGTAATCGTCTTTGATTTCCACAGGATCCGAGGTGAGCTGCTTCACCACTGGCTCCTGATCAAGATCCTGAAACACACGTTGCTTTCAGTGAGCCACAGATTTTCAGCATACTTGTTAGTAGCCAGACCTGTGTGAAGGAGTAGATCCTGACCTCTCCTCTGGAACCTGGTGTCTCCAGGATACAAAAGTCGTCCGTCTCTTGAGTCAGGCTCGGGACAGGAGTGATGAGAGGAGAGTGAAGCATGGGGTAAGTCGGGCTTGACTCCTGGTTAAAATTCCCACTCTCATCCGGGAACAGGAATAGGTCTGAGCGAGGCGGGTCTTGGTCTTGATTCCGCTCCTCACACGCACCTATAGATGTGTGAAAAAATAGAAAATCAAGTTAAGTGATATCATTCATGCTAAAACTTGAATGTTTACTGAACAAAGTCTTCACCATTCTGCTGCAGCCCTGCTGCATGCTGCCCGTCAGTCTCCTCCATAGCTTCACTCATCAGATCCTGCAGCATCTGCTGCTCAGTCTCAGCGAGCAACAGGGTCTGAGATGTGGGCCGGCTAGGAAACTCCGCCTGTCCACAAACATACTCAAAATAAGAACGTACGACCAGTGGAGTTTTTTCAATCCTACTGTAGCTACGTAATATGGGCCTCTTGGTGGTGTCGCTGCTGACCTTGGTTCTTTGTGTGGTGCTGCTGTGTTTGGCCTCTGGTTCTGCAGGGGGGAGCAAGTCTCCATAGCTGGCCATATACTGGATAAGGTTCATGAGGGCGGCACAGGAGTCCGAACACGTTCTGATGTGAATAACGTCGCTGGAACAGCGCAGCTCAAATCTGGGCTCCGACTATCACCCGAGAAACATGACGCACACATTTTTCAACCTTCTATTCGAGAGAAAAACGTTTGAAACATTGTCGGTTAGAGACATACAAATCTTACCAACTTTCCATCCACTCCCGGTTTGACAGCTGTGATCCTGAGCTCCAATGTTCCCATGTCTACCACTTGGACATAATCTGTGACAAAAAAAACAAAAGCAAACATTGGTCAAAGCCGCATTCGAACATTTTAAGCAGTTTCTTAAGATCATCACTGAAGTCAACTTACCTCGCACTAGATTGACAGAAACAGCATTACTCTTGTCTGAGAGGAACAGAGCCGCTTCGTCCAAAATGATCCTGTGCAGAACACATTATACTCAGCAAAAATAACTCAGTTGTAATTACATCGCTCAATGTTGTGTCAGCAAAACCAGTCGTCTGCTCATACCTGAGTGTTGAGGAAGAGTGGTCTAAAGAGACACTGCTGGAGATGCTAAAAGTCTCCACAACCAACAGTGATCTGAGTGGCAGGTAAAGGGGTCTGTGGAGAGAAGAACTGATTAGAATACTGTACTGGCAGCTGAAAACCCGTTTCACTTGTTGTTCTCCTTACTGATTATGTTATACTGTCTTATATGAAGTCTCTATTGCCTAAGAGCTTGTCTCCTTCTGCCTCTTATGAAATGTAGTTTTCGTCTCTCTTGCCAGTCAGCTGGGAGATCCGCATTTGCAAATGTGAAACTTACTCATTGCAATAAAACTCTAAAAAGGACAAGTTCGCTTTTTTTGAATTCATCTTTAAAGTGCCTCCACGATACACACACAGATAACTCATTATTTAGTGGGAGGTCTGATTTACCTGTAGTCTAGAGAGCAGCTCCACAGGTGTAAATGTAGGGTGGTGACAGACGTAGGAGGGGCGTATCCCAACACAGGCTCATCGGAAACATTCAGAAAGTCAACAATCTGTTGATACAGAAACTGGCATTAAGATTACAATTGTAATATTCTATTGTATTGTATTTCCCTGAAATGCTGTCTTAACATTTGTGTGAAGGCAAAAGAATCAAAGAGGCTGTGAAAGAGTTAGTGAATGAGTAGCTCCATACTGGCCTACCTGGTCATACCAGCCCAGGCTGGGAGAGACTACTCTGTGCTGGAGTGTGGCTCCTCTCACTCCAACAGCAACCAGAAATTCCTACATGAAAAGTGAGGAGAAAACAAAAAACACACCGACTGATATATTTAAACACCAGTTCTGTCAAATAAGGGAAACGTTTACTGAATGTGGTTGAAACAGATGTTACAGCAATAAATCAATAATAAACACATCACCATGGTGTTTCACAGCATAAAAATAAGTCCCCACAAAAAAACGTGTATTCATCATAGAGTGTGTATGAAGATGGCCAACATAACAGTGAAGCTAAAACAACTTGATCACCCCGTAGTAGTTGGCTCCAATATAGGTCATAAAGCCTGCACCCTCCATGTTAGCAGATGTGAAATGGACGATCTGAAAATCGTTCTTTGGCTCACAAATCACTGAACTGTGCTACACGACTCTGGGATCTGAAGTATACGTTGTCGTATGTGTCATTTTAGCAATCCCACCGCGCTCCTAACAGACAGGGAGTCTATACCGAGGTGATCTAAAGCCGTCTTGTCAGCCAGCGCGGCCTTTTACTTCAGCGATTTGAGTAATCTACCTTGACATTGCGTTCTGCATTCTGCGATGAGATTTTGACAGCAACGGAGACCATGCTGCGGGCCTCCAGACCGATACCCTCCGAGGGTGTTGAGGCTCTCTCAGCAGACGTCTCGGATTGGTAGATGGTTGGCTCTAACCAGTGGGGATGCGTCCTGCACGGCAGCTTGACGTCTGAGACAGAGGTGCCTCCATCCACAAGTCCTGAAGAGATTAACAAGAGGGAGACATGCGTATATGAATGACATAACACTGATGTAGAAACAGCATGGTTATATAGTAGTAGTACTCTGAATGTGTGCCGGTGGTTTACCTTGATGGTACATGCAGATATTACTGGTGTGGAAGCAGATGTAGTGTTGGTCTTTATATCCTTCGTACTGCGTCACACTGAACAACACGGCATTTTTCACCTCCAGCCAGAACTCGCCATGTTTGTTTTTCAGTAGAGTTTTATCCTCCTTCTGGGAGAAAGATGGAAACTCAGTTCCCCGATCCATAAAATACGATACGAGGAATGTTTGAATAAAACCGGGTAAGTGATGACAAAAAGGATGCAAGTTCACCTTAGCATTAGTTTGAAGAGTCACCAGGCCATGATTGACACTGATGATGACAGAGAACAGGCTCTGGGAGGTCTTGCTCTGGGCTTTGGGCTTTTTCTTCTTGCGAGACCTGAGGCCCAGGTCAGACGCAGGACAGTAATAGTGCATGGTCTCTTCGTCTGAGCCACTGTCCTCTGTCAACACAACACAAAGCATGTCTATGAAGGGACAACTTCCTCGTAGATGTTTCTAATACGATTCTAACAGTCTGACTCAATGCACATTCATGGGAAATCTTTTTTTTTTTGTCGTCTCACCCTCGGGACCGGTAGAGCGGAACTGGCTGAAGCTGTCCTTGGAATAAGTGTTGATCAACTGACTGGCGACAGAGAGTCCGACTCCATATGGCATGCTTTCTACCGTCTCCACTGGAGATGGAGCAGTTGGCTCCCACAGCAACAGGTCATTGTTTATCCTAAAATATTGAGAATATACTTTTTACAGCGGTTAAGTATCTTAATTGGCATCTTATCATATATTTCATGAGGATGAATACAGTTTTAGTCACTTCATTTTGATAGTCCTCTCTTTTCAACATTGTTGTTGGGTGTCAACAAGACTTGTCTCAACTAAAACATGATCTAATGAAATGTATTCAAACAAAAACCCTTCACCAAAAGATTATCTGTTGATTTTCAGCTACTACGAAACACATGTGTACACATCTTGTATCATATCATAAATGTGGTACCTGTTGTGTAGTTTTTCATAAAATGCCTTGCTGGGGAGCATTAATTGCACATTGGGGAAACACAACTCAAGGATGAAGCGGGAGTTGTTCATGGTTTTATCCTGGAACTCTGTCATTTCAGCAACATCACCAGGGATGACCATCTGGAGTTAAAAAACAAACAACAACAACAACATGGGTTTGTCACCATCTGCTCTGTCAACAGGTTAGGCATGCAAATCACTTCGGATGTTTCTGTTTGCATAATGATGCATCTGTCATTGCAATATAATGCATCAATCAGAAGACACCCTCGCTCCTGAATGCAAATGTTCCACCTGCACAAAACCCACCTGCCTTTGAGCAATGCTATCGTCAGAACTGAAACAACAATGTTTTTTTTAAGCAAATTTAAAAAGGAACTTTTTAAAATATGTGGGCTGCAACATTTCTATATGGTTATTGAAGGTTTGTGGTATCTGTGCATTGATAACATGCCAAACAGAGCCTTTTGTGATTGACAAGTTGCATAAAGTGAGCAGACTAATATTAAACAATCAGGTGGTATTCATACACCTGGATATAATAATAATACAAATACATTTAGCAGTTGCTCTAGGTACTTCAACAACATTAAGAAATGGACTAATATATATTTGCATTTTTGCTGAGTGTGGCCCTTTGGCCATGACATACCTCTTCATTCTCATACATGACCCTTCGTGACGAAAAGGGTGATGGCTCTGGTTTCCCAAAGTCACACACATCCTTGAGTGAATGGGCAGCCCCTTCCTCCTCTTCCTCTTCAAGGGAATGGTCCTCAGCACCCTCGTCATCTTCAGCCGTCACCCGCTCCAGTATCGAGTGGACTGCAGTGGGGTTCATCTTCAGCACAATCCTGCTCACAGAGATTCAACATCAGTGAGGGGTTCCCCTGAATGGACAGAGCAGAGCAGAGCAGTCTGTTTAGATAAACTTACCTCGGCCAATCAAACTTCACACTTTCAGATGTCGTCATGTCTCCATCCATGGTGTGGGACACTCTGAGGAACCGGGCAGCTGGTTGATCCGGCTCCTCCTGAAACTTCCCTATGCAAACAAAAGAATAAAAAGCAGTTAAAGAGCAATTCCTCATATATAAAAAACATTTAACTTTAGACCACATACCAATAAGCTCCCTGAAAGTGAGCTCCATTTTGGTTTGGTCAGGAGAGCTGCCACCCATGAACTCTGTCTTCACTTCCAGGTCTTCCAGCTCCAGGTAAAGTACTTCCTTCTGCAGGGACTTCTTAAACCAAGCGCCCCTCTCCTGATCTGAACGCAGGTCAGGGATGGGGAAGCGGATGGCAAGGCCCAGCAACGGGGCATTGACAGTCAGCGATACGTGACAGTTAGTGGGAGTATGGCTGTCATCAAGGAAGACCTCTGTAAAGGCCTTATGCTGTGAAATGAGTTTGAAGGGACAAAGAATTACAATAAAGATATGTTAGCGAGCATGCATGCATGCATATATATATATATATATATATATATATATATATATATATATATAGTAGTTCTTGAGAAGCCCTTACCAAGCTGACATGTTTATTATAGGATGTGTACATGTGGGAGGCCATCAGCTCTGTGGTGGCCAGCTTCTGAGGTTGTAGCAAAGAGTTGAGACGGTCCACGATGCTGATGTCCAGCTCAGAGCGCACGGGGCCCAGCTCCACCTGGATCTCAGCCTTCCTAGGAATGGTGCAAAGGCGAACCTGGCCGCCCTGCACAGAGAACCAGCGTGTTGACTGAGTTAAAAGCATGACGGTGACACACATAAAGCTTTTGAGTATTAAGTGTTTCATATTGGACTAATAAGTTACCTGAGGGCCTCTGCGCTCAGCCTGTTTGTAAAGTAGGTGAAGGCAGCTGGTAAGCGCCGCATCACCACTGACTGTGGTGTCAAATGTCAGGAGCTGAGGTGTGACAGAGAAAGTAGTGAGAATCACTCCTAATGTCATTTCATGTATAAGGGGTGTTTAACAAACCGAAGCTCAGTGCACTGCCACATGTGCTCAGCTTGGACTTGAAACACGAACCTCAGTGTACTGAATGCCTCTTTGGGAGCCACCAGTGAAAGCCTCAGAGGGGAAAAGACACTCCAAAAACTCCATCTGGTCAAGGGAGACGTCAGTACTGAAAGTCCGCAGGCTGGATCCCTGACAGTGCTCGTAGTGGATCTTTAGGCCCTGGGCCACAAACCTGCAAATATAAGCCCAGATCACACAGACATAAAACACATACATGGTAAATAAAAGGGATTAGTGAAAAACAAAAGCGCACCTCAGATGGTCATGGGGGCAAGCCTGGTTAAACACTGTCCGGGACTGAAGGAAAGCAGCTGGGGCGAGCTGGCCTGGGCCCACCATGCTGAAGAAGTGTGCAGCCATGGGGCCAAGGGGACTGGGAGCAGCATCCGGTGGTGGCAGCGGGTCGATGTGGAGGACTGAGACGGCAAGGCTGCTCAGTGTCAACCTCAACACCAGCTCTGGCCTCGACTCATCACCGTGGGTTTTGGTTGGATGGGCTGAAATACAACAATGGCACACGAACCACGTAACCATGTGCAACAGAGAGCTGCGTGTTGGTATGTTACAACACATAAAGATCTAATCAGGAAGATATGCTGATGTAATCTTTGCTTAGAATGAAAACTCCTTTTGCACTCTTCAGCACATGGCCACAGAGGGACTATTATTTAATAGTTTAATGTGTTTAAATTATGTATACAGATACATTGTGATACTTACAAGGCTGTCTCAGTAATTTTTGAGGAAATTGTAAATCCCGCGACTGGATGGGAGCTTCATTAGTCTGCTTCTCTCTTTGTCGTGGTACATCCATGTAATCATCCCACAGAGCCTACAAACACAGACACACGGTTCATTCGGGAGAATTTTACCACACAAACTAAAAACACCCGCAAGTCAAATACTTCCTAATTTTGTCAGTATGATGATTCAATTACATTTTTTTGCAATTTGCTGACGTGAAGACTTACTGTTGCAGACGGAGATTCTCCTGGTGAGGTGGAGTAGTTGCTATTGAGTGACAAATCCAAGTCAACGGTGGGCGGTTCACCCAGAGGAGGAAGGGATGACAAGCTGTGAGACATGTCCATGTCTGCCATGGAGAAGAACACGTCATCTACACCAACCACAGATGGGTTTAAAGAAAGAAAGAACACATTCAGTTAGATAGATGCAACCACAACATTCGGTTTCTCTGAAAGGTCAAAGGATAGAGGATGGTGTTTCATTCCAACCTCGACTAGACACAGTTCTGGCGGTCTGGCTCTCAAAGAGGTCTGGGTCTGTTCCTAGCACAGCGGTATCCTTCTTCAGACAGCGGTTCAGTTCCATATGGAGCCGATACTCATCCTCTTGCTGCATGGGTCTGCTCTTTCTATCCTTAGCCGATTCCTGCGCACCTTCACAAAAAGAATAGGAAATCCTCTATTCACTCTACTTCTCAGTAACTCATTTGGGGACATTATTACCCGGTTTGATTGAAATGTTGTCGCTCATCTATCAACAGAGAGGAGGCTCACCTCCACCAGAAAAAGCTCCACACAAGTCCAGAAGAAGATGAACTTGCCGTGGAGACAGAAGAATGAGAAGTGTATCAATGTGTCCGACAACATCCAGCTGAAAAGCAAAGCACGTAAAACACCCTGGTTATTAGCAATCACCCCGAGTTCATAATATTGACTGTTGAAATAATCCAGATTTGTTTGCTTATAGTATTTTGTAATTAAGTAATGCTTAATGCACCTTTGCTCCAGGCATCGCCAAGTTGTTTTTCAGAGTGAGGGACAACTCTATTTTACCACAGAGGCTCCCGACCTGCACCGGTTCAAAGGGTGTCGTAGAGGATAACGGCTCTGTAAACTGAGGATGAGGCTCACATATGATTTTGGGATTCCAGCTAGGGGAGAGCTTTGGCTCAGTTTCCTGCAAAATAAAAGATATATTTTAAAAAGGCTGACACATACATACATATATACACTTTCCTGCAAAATGTCAAAGACTCGCTACACTAACCGCTGGAGTGGGTGAAGATTTACAGCCAGCACGGGACACATCTGAGAACTCATCCCAAAATACAGTGATGCCTTCCATCTGCAGGTTTTTATGTGCAAATGTCGTTGGCTGGTGCACATTCACACTTGAAGTCTCCTCGCCTGTTTCATCGCAGTAAACAATCCTGAAAGCAACCGCAGAACACAATTAGTTTGATAAGGACCTGCAGTGAAAACTATTGCATCGCATGCACTACATAATAGGGACATCTTCCATACATATAGCTGCAACCTTTTCACTATCCACAACATAAAAAAAAAAATATTCAATAGTATTTTATCTTGCTCCCCTTATTTATGCGTCTTCCTTTCTGAATGATGATCGATTTTAGAAATTAAAATTGATAATGGATGGAGACTTTTAACTAAATTCTGATGTTGGAAAATATGTTGTGATATGTTCATGTAATATTTTGGAAACTGTCTGGTTTTCCAGGATGTCCAAACTTACTTTTTGATTCGAATCTCAAGGGCGATCCCAGTTTTAGAATTTTCTGGAATGTGTTCGACTCTGAGAACAGTATCCAAAAATGTCACTTTAACTCTTCTCAGAACTGCAAGGTAGGAAATTTAAAAGAAATTACTTTACACAATTCTAGGTCGGTTCACTTTTTTTAAATGTTGCTCAACAGTATCTACATATCGTACCTGTCTCTATCGTTTCTGCAAACTTCTCTAACCCCTCAAAAGGCTGGAAGCTCTCTCCCATATCGTCGGTGAGTTTCTGGCTGAGACATTCTTTGGCAAGTTGCATGCTGCTCGTCATGAAACTGGACCAGTACATGGGCTCAGTGCCAGATGCTGGAGGGACAGTTATTGACTTTTCAGTAAAATCAGTTGTCAACTTTTTTAACAGAATGATGATACATTTCCATCTAACACTTTTTTTGAAAGATGGTGTCCTCGTGGCACGCAATGCGGCCTCTCCTTACCCACTCTTGGTCTTGGTCTGAGCACCATCTCCAAACCTTTGACCTCCAGGGCACAGTTTTCGTGCAGTAGGGCCGCCCATGGAACGGTTAGAGAAATTGTCTGGATGAACCCTGCGATGACCTCAAAAGGGGCATCTGCCGTCTCTAGGAGTTCATTGAGTGACTGAGGAACAAGGAATAATATTGAAGTGTTCATACAGATTATGTGTTTAAATCAAATAAATTCATCTGTTGTATTTCCAGGTAACACTACACATACCCATTTATCCAATGGCACTTGTGCAAGTGATCCGGTGCCTTGATAGAGGTCTAAACTGAGCTGATCCAAGCTCAGCTTCTCCTGCAGAAAGTTGCCAAGGTACCGATGCAGGAGGTATCTACAGGCCCGCTTCTTGATGGACTCCGAAAATGGCCACGGCATCTTAACTCAATGGGTGAACAGTACACAGGTAATGACGGGGATCTCGAGGCAACCGGAATGGTATAGCAACTCGGACAGCTATGAATGAATCACTGGTGTTACAGTTGTGTCATCCTGTCGACTTAAAGACATTAAGAAATCTTGAACTCCAACACCCTTCACATCCCAAGATTAGGGACACTCCGCAGGATGTGTTGACACTCGGGGATATGTGTGGGAATTGGTCAGACTCCTGTTTGCGGCTCCTATTGAGAGACAGAGATATGGTTCCAGCTTTTGTAATTTGACACTTGACACAACATGGGACTTGACACACAATGTTTACAGCAGAGACGAAAACAACAAGCTTCACGAATGCGTCAGTTTAAGACAGACACGGTTTTAAATGTATCCTGAGGAGCACTATAATATAAGTGAAGCATTAAACCTCCACAACGTCAGTGTTATCATCAGCACACATTTACCCCCATTCTAGAGCCAGTGTAAACAAGACAAAGGCGCTTGCGAAATAACAGTTTGAATGCCACAGACGTGCCAGTCAATAGCTGCCCGTAGCTGTGGTCACTTGAACAGGGCTGTTATCGTAGTCAAGACACGGGAGTAGCGCTAGCTAGACAAAGACATGTCATTTCTGCTAACTAGCCGGCTAGCAAGACTAGCGACATTAGCTAGCCTCTGAACCACTCCCGTGAGGCAACATTAGCATAGCCGGCTAACGTCAGGCTACAGACTGTAACGGTACATGCCTGCTAGATGGCTAGCTAACCCTAAAATCAAACACTTACTAAGTTATCTTCCCACAGTGAGGTGTGCGCTGACAAAAATCACGTCACATACACACACACCAGAGCAATACGGCAACACGCACAAGTCAACGAACACAGCGGAATGTATTAGTGCAGCTGGCGAGTTACCTTCTGTCTGAGTTGTTTACAAACACTTTCATGACTCCGCACCAATTGAGCCTCCACCGGGATGGGATTAGGAAATGACGTCATAACATGGCGGCTCAGTGTGGACCTCTGGACAGGCGGTTGGGTCAACATTTATGTTAGGTCGTTATTTTAGACGCTGAGCGGTTGAACTAGAAACAGGGCGTGCGTTAATGTCACCTCAGTCTCTGGTTATCCACGCATTTACATCTCAACGGTTAGTTACCGATCTAACGTGAGGTGACGCTCATTTTGACGGAACCCTCTCTAAAGAGCTCGAGCGGGCCCCGGACGCTTCCACGAGCCCGGAAGAACACGTCCAACGAGGAGGTGAGAAAAACGAACGCACTTTGGTTAGAAATTACTTTTGTAACGTATTCATATCAATCGTGTGATTACCATATTTAAAATGCAAACGGGTTAAATATAACCAAAGGGATTGAAATACGTGTATAGCCCACAGAGCGGTCAGCTGCTTTGCTACCGTTAGTTTTCTCAGAGTTCAGCTACAGTAGATTAGTCTTCCTAACTAACATTCTATGAATTCGCCTAATTTGCATGAAACTCACACATTGCATAGCAGCTGTCTGTGTGAACAGTAACCAGATATATGTATCCTCATCCAGCTACACAACCAGGCTGCTCAGAGTCCTCAAGATGTCGCTGTTCTTCATTGTACATGTATAACATATTTATAATCAGCTCCACCTCGACCAACTACAACGATATAATGCCACGCGGTCATTAATGCAACTGTAATAATATTCCAGTAATAGAATAATATAACGCTAATGGCATTATTCTGCATTAATAATAGTTTAAACTTAAGTAACATATTTAACGCAGTGTTTGCAATCAATTATTATTTCTTCGTTATATTGCTGCTTTAACGAAGGATCTAAGTACATCCTATCCTTCTGCCTATTTATATCTCTGTCTAATTCTAAGTGACCTTACTAGCACTGTGTGTTGGTTTAACAGGCTATACAGAAGACCAAACCATGATGATATTTTCTCCTTCCATAACAATGACAAATCCACAGTGTTTTGCTTGTAAAACAGACATCAAAAAGGTAGCAGGGACAGGTTACGTAAAAGTTGCTGCGTGTCTAACATTCAGTGGTTACGAGGGCACAGCAGCACCCATAAAGGCATCCATCCGAACGAATGAACGATGACGCAGCCAGATGCGGAGCAACAGGTTACAGCTGTCCTGCAGGAAAAGGGCTCATACAGGAATGCACAACCTAATGCTCCTTGACATAAATGGGGCAAACAATGTATTCAACTTGTTGAACAAAAATGCACCGGTGTATTTAGCAGCCTTTTACATTCAGAGTGATCTTCAATGAGTGAAGCATTTGCAGGATGAAATTTAAAAAACAGAGCCGACTCATCATTTGGAAGCACTGGAGACAACATTGGTCTTCCTCTCTGGGAACACATTGGACTTTTTGAATATCCGGTGCTCTGATAAATCATGGCTATACCATGCACGGACCAGCTACCTGTTTGGAAGGAGGAAGTGTTTCACACTATCTATTCTGGGAATACCCATTTTATCTTACACTTGTGTAATGTTATCTTACTGGTGCAACTACATTTAGTTTAGGAAGTTAATGACATTTTAGTGGGTCCAACTTGAGTAGTTGAGTTCCTAATTTCAGTTGGTGTAACCTTTCCTCACCCAACTAGGCCACTCATAGAGGATCTTAAGTGTTAAAAATAGTCCACCTTGCACTTGTAATAAAAAAAGGTTCACAGATCAGTCAGATGCTTGTTTGTTTCAGTTCTGCTTTTTTTCTTTAAATAATTTGCCTTTAGGAAACACGTGAATCACAACCCTTTTTAAAGCGGTTTTAAGTTATGACCATATTATACTGTTGTATTTTATTTTTACTACCATCTCATTATAAATAACACTTGACAGGTAGTCCAATGAATGTAGTTTGTTTCATGGCAGTAAAGAGCTCCTTGTTCTGACACAGTCCCAGTAAACTGCAGGGTTTGTCAAGTGCACTCAGTGATTGTGGACATGGAGAACTCTTTCTGTCATTGTGTCAGTCAGCAAGTTTTAATAGCATACAGTAAAATCTGGGCTTCAGCTGAGTCCGCCAATAATGTTGTTGTTCTGTAACAGGGGGATGGAGATAGACTGCCAGCCCGAGGAATCCGTCGTCTCTTCCTTTGACGAGGACTGTGCTGTGCTCGGCCACGTCAAGGACATGAGTTTGGAGGCAGAGGCGGTGGTAAATGACGTACGTTTTGCCGTTGACGAAATGCACGTGTCACAAAGTCTCAGCAGCGCGTCAGATGTGGCCTACATAAACGTGGAAACACGAGAGGGAAACCGGTATTGTCTGGAGCTCACAGAGTCGGGATTAAGGGTAAAGACGCACACGCACGGAAAGTGAAGCACAGTGATTTCCTGTTTTATTCCTCATTGTATGCATGTTTTACAATAAATCACTTCTCCAAACAGGTGGTGGGCTATGCCTTCAATCAAGTGGACGAGGATTTAGACACCCAGTATTACGAGACTGTTTACTCACTTCTCGACAAGCTGAGTCCGGGCTACAGAGAAGCCTTTGGGAACGCTTTGCTCCAGCGGCTAGAGAGGCTGAAGCAAAGCGGACATTAAAAAGGACCAAGTTGAAGAAGTGGAACAGAGGTTGATGATTTGGGTAAATTTGGATATATGAGCCAAGTCTGGTCAAATATTATAGCCTGTTATGTGACATCAACCTGCCTAGCTACCACTACAGTAAGGCTTACCCTGCTCCATCAACCACTACAGTAAGGCTTACCCTGCTCTATCAACTCTTTGTTCTGACTTCCATATCATTGAATGTCATGTTGCTTGGTGGTTTTGGCTGTATGGGGTCTGTTGCAACATTGCGTTGACTTTACTGTGGAAAGATTTTCCAACGGTGCACATCGTTTGAGAATCCTGCACCTTTTGTACTCATCAGAATGGTCTGAGAAATAAGTAGGTTGTTCGAATTATAGATCCAGTTGCATGCACTAAAACTGACCCGACATCTGTTCAAATGTACCAACTAGTTCTTATTCAGCAAGTGAAAGACCCAAAGCTATATTCTGTCCACTCATGTATATACTGCCTTAATGACTGCTATTTTGTGGGGCTGACATTTCACATGGATAACTAGGTCAGAAACTTTTTGAAAAGGTTTATACAATCTCAATTATCAAGTTAATTTTTTTTATTTTTCTCCATACTGCATTGTAACTCAAGCTTACATTTCAAGCTTTTGCTGTAAAAGTGATCACTGTACAAGCTATATTTATGTTGTAGTCTCAAATTTTGGTTAATTGTCATAATACAGTTTCATATGTCCTTCAGTGTTAGTCATTCCTTGCTGCTGGCCTTTGCGCAGAACAGATTCTGAGAATTACATTTGTCTTCATTTTTACATCTACAAATGTCTGACAGAAGGCAAACCAAGGCTAAGCAGCTGCATTTTAAAACAATAAAGTTTCTTCACCACTGCGTCATCAAGTGGCGATTTTGGGGAAATTGAGTTAAAGTTCACCTACATTTTTGGATCAAGTGTCTTACAAGTACATTTGACATAATGGTCCTTATAGAACAAATTTGACTCGAATGTTAGTCCATATCAGTCACACCAATACAACTTTGTTACACATTAGATTTCTTTATTTCATTTACACATATCTAGTAGTACAAGGTCAGTAAGAAACAATACAAAAGTTATAGTAAAGAAAAATACAGAATGTACCTTTTCTGACTACACAGCAGCCAGTAAGACAAGACAATTGCACTGCAGTGGAAATGGTTCAGGTCATTCACAAACAACTGTATTGCTTCACATCCACTTCCCTTAAAATCGACTGTTAAGAAGGTCACTGCAAAAATCACCTGTTTATTTATTTCAGCAGGAGTCAATGTGTGAGTGTAGCAAAGTCTTGCAAACCAGTGAAAAACAGACATCTTAAAAATCAATTTGATGGACGAATAAAATGAGATCATAACTAGAATCATTCTGCAGGTTTTTAACTCATAGCTGAATCCCTTTTTTAAAAATATATATTGTACTTTAGCTTAGCTCACAGAATCTGAACCGGGAACCGAATGCAGAACAGGTCTTTTTGGTTGTCTTCTTTCAGTTCCCACTCCACGACCAGCCTTATCTAGAAATGCAGAAGAGTGATCAGTGAACAACGTGGGCTGCGCACACACACGCGCGCACACACACACACACACACACACACACACACACGAAAAGGTTTGTTGCCGATGTAACAAGTAGTACTTACTGGAGGGTACACAGACTTCACAGGAAGAGAGTTCAGATAGTGATACTGCTGCTGCTTCTGGATGGGACACTGGATTCCAGACTTGCAGCCATCTTCATTGGGAATGGGGAAGGGGACGGCAACTCCAGCAATGATGCCATGAACCACCGCTTTGCTCGCCTGGCTCTCCACAGCTACAACAGATAACACATGACTGAGATCAAAAAGGTACAAAAAAATAAAATAAATCCTATTCATTTATGTTCTGACTGTCGGGTGAAGTATTTCAAAGACAAAGCCCCCTTACCACTGTCGAATGTCACATTGACACTGTAGGACTGTCCTCTGTGTAGCTGACATGGCTGAACGGCACAAGGGCTAATGTCCACTATGGACACTTTACCAGAAGGGGAGCCTAAAGGGAAACAAGGGGAAAAGAAAAAGGTCTTAAAAAAAAAATATGCAGACCTAAGCATACAAAAAAGGGAAATAAACTACCAATCAGGAGTTCAGTCTCAATATACTTTTGCATAAGGTGCCAAAAAAAACAACTCAGGAACATACAAACAGAATTATAACTAAAAAAAATGATCTGCTGATTAATATAATCTAAAGTAAAGTATGTAATCTTATTCATTTTTGGTGTTTGGCTACTCAGCTAGATCACTCCTGCGGCTCGGGAGGGAGCTGTCCAAAGTGTGAAGAGATAACCCTGATGAGATCAGAGAGTCTCATGACAGACATTGTTACATCGTTTTTGGAAGTCCACTCAAATAAGAGATTAAACGTTTCTTTCTTGGACTCTGCTGCTGCCTTTTCGTCCTCTCTTTTTAGAAGTACTATACAAAATCACTTCTAGATGGAGTGACAGCTCTGATCACTCAGGAAACTCTTAATTAATCACTGAATATAAACAAAACGAGCACATGAGAGTTGTTCATGTGCACAGGACTGTGTGACAGAGATGTGCCCAGTCAAACAGTCAGTCAAAGAAACAATGGAACATTAATCAAAAATTCTGAGAATTAAACCTTAATGACTATAGGATGGACAAAACAAGCATTTAAACAGAAGTCACTTCTGTATTCTGGTAAACCTATACATTTTATAACAACAACAGGACAGCAACACATGTTAACCAACGGATTTCTTCACTCCTTTTAGGATTGCGTAACAAGTGTTTACCGCTAACGTACAAGACATTTACAACAGTAATTAAAAGTCAGAAGAGTAGTAAATCTAACGTTTGTCATTAAAATGAGTGAAGTGAAACTTACCGCAGTCAATGAACTTCACTGGCGCCGCACAGGTGAGTCCCATTAAGCACAACAAAACGAAAAAACGAGTCGGGACATCCATGTTTATTTCCTAACAAAAAAAAAAAAAAATAGACATGCAATGAGGAAATAGTCATTAGGTAATAGAAAAGTAAACCTCACCAGACGTCAGCGGTCAGCGGTCAGTTAAAGTGTTCAATCATATGACTTTGTGTTAGTTTCCTCAAATGTTCCGAGTGTAGCAGTGACTACGGAGTTTAACAAAGAACACGTACTCTTCCACCACCTGGCACTGGCAAGAGTAACTACACAATCATAATAGCCTTCTAATAAGCATAGCATAAGGACGCATAAGAAGCAATGAATGAAGCAACTGTACCTTTGAAGCGCTTTCTGCAGTTTCCCAAGTGAAGCCGACAACCGCCGAGCACCTTTTATTTCCGTGTATCACGAGATCGAAGTAACGCCTATTTATCATACAATGCTATCATTAACATTTTGGGTTTTTATGCCCGCAATACAGCTTGTCAGGAAACCTCTCACCGTTAAGACTCCGCCTCATGCGATATAATTGGCAGATCAAAATCTCAAGCAGTACACAAACCATAGACTGTAAAAACGAACCCAGTCATCTTTTACCCAAAACTAAATGCATAAATTCAGGGAGATCTGTGCCTGCAAGGCAAAGCCAAGGTATCGATAAGCTCGCCAGCCAGAAAACAAACACGTTTTCATCTTCTTTTGATTGGCAGTTAAACTGTACAAATATGGGCGTATCTATTTGACAGACAATCCTTTCAGCCAATAAAGGTGCAATCTTCCCTTCGTCGTAGGCTGGGGGATGTAACCTTCCGACATTTGTTATGGAAGATGTCATTCGTGAGAGCAGCTATGATAACTGCGTCAAAGTCAACAGTATTGAACCTTGCTAGGTAACGATTATTTGTCTTATATCTTAGACACCAGTAGAGATAATCTGTAAACAATCTCTCTGGGGGAGAAAAAGAGCTGCGTGTTGAATTATTGTTGTTAGCAAGCTAGCTGTTAGCGCTACCGTTAAGCAGCTAGCTAGCTAGCCCCATGGCTAGCGAGGCTACTAGTCCTGCTGCTTTCGTGCAATCTGATTTTAACAAAACGTATTTTATTTATTTTTTTTGCAGGGCATCAACTCTTTTGTCCAACAATGTGAGCCAACAGTTACACCGGCTTCCTCAAAATCACCTGCCCTTTTACACAACGGCGCTTCATCGCTTCAGCAGTGCCTCAACCCAGCAGAAGCCAGCGGGGTCAGAACCACCTGAAGACAAAGTACAACTCACTGAGTCATGTGTGAAGGTGTGACATGTCCACGATTAAGCATCATACTGTTATGTCTGATAATCCAATATTTGTCAACATTGTTGATATCTGATATCTGATTATGGACCATGCTAACATGCATTGCCGTGTGGCCACCGTGTCAATCAATATGTTGGATTGTTATTTTGTACTTTGCACTTCATTCATCATGATCCTGTCTCTCCTTTAACACAGAGACTAGGGGAAATCATGGGGAAGGGTGATTATCTGAGAATACATGTGGAGGGAGGAGGCTGCTCTGGGTTCCAGTACAAGTTTTCTGTTGAGAATAACAAGAATGAAGATGACAGGTAAATTGCCACAAACCTATCTTTGAATTTGTTGTTTCACACCGGTCTCATTGTGTCCTTATTGTCTCTTATAATCTCTGTTCCCTCCTGCATCCACGCTGCTCTGCTATCAGGGTGTTTGAGCAAGGAGGAGTGGGCATCATTGTGGACCAGGACAGCCTGGAGTTTGTGAAAGGAGCCACTGTGGACTTCACCCAGGAGCTGATCCGCTCCACCTTCCTCGTGCTCAAGAATCCTCAAGCCGATCATGGCTGCTCCTGTGGCAGCTCCTTCTCTGTCAAACTATGACCCTGCGTCAATGTTACTTGATACACTGATTTACCAGTTTGTGTAAAAAATGCAATTAAATATCATAAGACACTTTTAAACATAATGCTTTCTAACTACTGGTGTTGTAGGTGTGAAACAAGTGAACTGAATGAAAGGATGGGGTATCTATTGATCATTGTGCTGTTTTGCAGATGGTGACAGTCGTTGCTCATTGATAGATGAGTTCACAACATTCAGCTGTAATCATCATGTATTCAATTCAAAACAAAAGCTCAATTGAGACGTTTGAGTCTGCGGTGCTTAGATTTGCCCTGGGTGTAAACTATGTAAATAGGCTAAATCTATGATTGCAGAGAGCTAAGCTATATTGTATTTGTTTCATCTAAAATAAAATTGAGTGAATTTCAAATATTTGTATCTTCAGTCTGTTCAATTTTTATTATATGCAAATTGTGTGTTATATAATTTATTACACTTTCATTGTTACATTAGAGGGATGAAAGGGAACCCAGGAAATGTTTCTATTTATTGATAATTGATGAAAGGTTAGTCGCACTGATGTTTCATTGAAAGTTACTTCGTCAGCATTATTAATTGGTCTGGATTCATTACACCACCGTCAGTTAAAACATTGCTCAAAGTCATGGTTGCCTTTTTTATTAAAGTGGAATTTAAGAAACATCTCACAAAAAATATACAAAAAGAATATATACAAATGATATGTACACTGGTATAATGTAAATCAAATTATGCAGCAACAATTTTTTGTATAGTTAGTCTTAATACAAGGAGCAAAATATTTTTGCACTTTTCATATTTTCTCTGATAAAACATTCCATTTAAGCAATATATCCGATAACACAAAACATTAACCGTACTGTTGAAAAAAGTCACACTGTTCATATTCATGAAAATGCGACATTAATACGTCATAGCAGCACACTGAGAAGTGAGAAAGAATTGCAACCGTGAATTGAAACATCAATTTACAGCTGTTCTTTTTTTTTTTTTTTCTGAGGAATTTGGTTCAGACAGATTGTCTTCCAGTAAGCCATGCACACCCACTTACCACAAACACATCCTCAAACAAGTATGAGCACGTTTAACTTGTCATGAGGGGAACACTGCCGAGGGAGGTTTGAGGTCAACCAGTCAACAACACAACCACATAAACAAACCGTAAATGAACCATCAGGGGTAACACAGTGACCAGGTCAGGTGTACAGTGCATAGTATGCTTTGGCATGCTGACATCCAGAACATAACAGTGGATGTTACATTCAGAAGGAAGGCCACAGGATTTGGAATCACCAGTAAAAATAGAACAAACAAATGATTACATGATCCAAAAAGTAAAACCAACTAATACAAAAAGAATCCAAACCCTTGTAAATTAAACACTCAGATTAAGGCTAATTCAGTTTGCTACATGTTTTCAAAAAATGGCATTGTCAGTAACACAATTTCATAGGCCTATCAAGTGGCAAAACATCCATTTTCAACATGTACACAGATACACTCATTCTTTAAAAAAAAATTGTATTATTATTTTTATTATTTGAGAGATGTCTCTCTTTTTTTTAAGGATGATGCGATGTCGTGAGAGCAGGGCTGTATGCCCTCCGCCTGTGTTCACAATCAGGACTGATGCTGTGATGAAAATGAGCCTTTCACATATGCATGCACCTATAGTTTTGAGGCAGTAAGTCAGGTCACCACTCATTTACAAGCTGCCACGTTCCTCCTCCTCCTCCTCGCTTCAATGCATCCTTTTAGCATACTTTCTGAGGCAGGGTTGGTCCAGGTGTGATCCTCAATGAGGGGCATGGACACACCTCCACACGAAGAGGCTAGAAAGGACATAAAAGAAAGGATGCATCGCTTAATATTTGATTGTGATGTCATTTGTAAGCTACGTTATTATTTGGAGCCTCAGTCATACCTCCTGTCATCTCCACCGGCACTAACCACGAAGCGGTCTCCAGTTGTGAAGCGTACATTAGTCAAGTGAGCAGAATGGCCCATAAAGCGTTTGTGTTTGCCCTGAAAACAGATCACATACATATCATCCAGGTGGCATCTCTCAGAGTACAGTAAACGTGAGACAATTCACCACACAGTCTTCACACAGGCTTCATGATATAAGCGTATCTCTGAAAGGTGCAGAGAAATGTTTTACTTTTATCATCTGACAGATGGCATAGGGTAAATATTAGTGTCATAAGAAATCCCAAACAGGAATAATAATATTATGCAATCATACTTACAAACTTCTCTGGACATGGAAATTCAAAGAGCTTCACCATTCCAAAGTCATCGCCTGTGACGATGTTAAGGCCTGAGTGGGACACACAGGCACAAGTGACGTCTGCTTTGTCAGTGTTGCGGGACCAGATGCCTATGACCTCGTCCCCAAGGACACTGGATACAGAGAGAGAGAGAGAGAGAGAGAGAGAGAGAGAGAGAGAGAGAGAGAGCAATCATATATTTGGCCATCACCTTTCTAACATGCATGTGTCGGTCTTAACACCGGGACTCTCACCTTGTCCAGGTGGCCCAGGTGATCCTGTCGATCTGTGACTGCTCTGTGACCTGCTTCCCAGATGGCACCTCGTACACGAGCCGTTTATAAGCACCGGTGGATATCTGGTTCAAGACATAACAGGTTAGGGATCATACAGCCAGCCAGCTAGCATTAAAGACAAACATGCCCTCCCACTGCAGAGTTGATAAACCCTCTCACAGTCCATACCTGGACGTAAGTGCTGTCAGCCGAAAAGTCCATCTGCATCACGAAGCTGGGGATGTCCCTGCAGCAGTTGATGCGGTTCAGCTGCGGTCCGAGTGTCAGGTCGTAGAAGTCAACTGCGCTCTCAGTAGAGCCTACGGCCAGGTAGCGAGAATTTGGACTGAACCTGTTAGAAAGTCATGCAGCGTTTTAAAAGTCTGTCTGTTCTGTCAGATTTACTTTGAAGTGTGTGGAGTAGGTTTGACCTATTTCAGTCTCCAAAGAAAATTTGTTGGTGTGACATTCCCTGAGGAAGACCATGGTGGTCGAAACATGTTGCCTCTTTAAATGATTTAGCCACCATAATAAAGGCTTTTTAATATTTCCTTCCTCGTTGGTCTTAGATTTTAGAGATTTTTATGGATTTCCTTCCCCTTGAACTCAGCTGTACCTTGTGCAAAGTGCCAAACTCTTCTATCATTACCTAATATCTTGAATAGGAGAGCGCCGATCTCTTTTCTTGCCCCAGATTTTGAGTGAGGCCACCAACAGGATGATGAACTCTCCGTTCTTCATGCCGATGGCCACCATGTCTCCTTCAGGACTGTAGCTGATGGTGCGTGCCGGGTGGCCCAGGTTCACCTTATTCAGCATCTTCTGTTTCCCCACAAGGCCATGCAACATCATCACATTCTTGTTATTAGTGTAATTTTGTGAATGAAGAATAACCATCTTAATTCCACTTGATAAAAGCAACATCTTATATGATAGAAGTACGAAAGTATTGGGAAGAATTGAGATGGTTCTGAGGGGATTGAGGTAACATGGCTGACCTTCTCCGGGATGTCCCACAGACGAACAGTGCCGTCCTCTGCCGCAGACAGGAATACGTCTCGGGAGGGATGGGTGCCCAAGCCCCAGATCGGTCCGTCCATGTGTCCGTTCACCAAGATGTTGCACGCTGCATTCTTCTCTCCTACCTCAATGATCTCTGCATTCCTGGTCCCCACGAGGATTTTACCCTGACACAGAAATCAGTAAAATGTGTCAAAATACACATGATGAAGTTTGCAATTCGCTGGATTCTTTTATAGAGTGCGATATTATGTGCGACCTACCTTTCCTCTGCACACAGAGCGAACACAGTCTATGACCTGTCCGGTTTCTAATCGAAACGCTCTGCAGCGTTTCAGCTCCTGGTCCCAGAGCTTTAGAGCACCTCCCTCTTTTGAGCTGTGGAGGAACACACACGTGTATTTCATCCCTCAGCTGATGAAATTCACAGCTTTAAATATGTATGCATTTCCCCCTCATATGCATTTAGTCGTATATTGGTATTACATTCATATGGGGAAATACATTGTTGCAAATATCAATAAAATGAATAAAAAACTAGTATTAAAAGCAAAGGGATGTTTTCCATTATCTGGTATCAAGGCCATCCAACCCTGCTACACAGTGTGAGCTCACTGATATGTAATATGGTGTATTAATGTAACAGAGCAGCACTCACGGTCTTTCCTTGCCTCCGGTGACAATGAGGCCGTCTCTCAGTGTGGTGTACATGGTGAACACAGGGCCCGTATGAGCTTTGGCCACAATTCTCACTAGAATGTGTTCCTTCCACACACACACATCCCCACTTATGGTACCTGTAAATGTCAAGGTATTCTGAAAAGAAAACAAAACTGCACTAATCTAGTGGCCTAAGAGAGCAGAGCGAGCAATGCAAAAACAATTCACAGCACATTTAAGTAGACAGTTTGAAATCAGGTGAGCTTTAAATATTAGTAGAGCCAAATTACGAGGTCAAATGTAGTATGTAGTAAAAACATTGAAAAGATTTTATATGAATATTAGTTGAAAGCCACTTACAGCTCCAAATGCTACAGACAGCATGGTCTGCATCCGGGCATCCTCTATGGAACTCAGCACACCTTTTTTGCTGAGCAAAGCTCGACCAGCTAACGTCCAGAAACGCACATGCTTGATCCCCACAGACACAAAGTGTGTGTCAGAGTCTGGACGAAATTCAGCCACAAAGATCCTCTGGGTGTGACCTACCCGGCTGGCAATTTTGGCACCTAAAAACAAAATAGAGTGCAATGAAAGCATGATCTCTGGTTGGATGTTCTAATCCCCAGAATGAGGTCAAAGTTTATTATTCAGTTTTACCTTCCTGCCATTTCCAGATGGTGACGGTGTGTTCGGGGTCCAGGCCCACAGACAGCAGGAGTTTTCCTGTGGCACTAAAGCTGACGGAGCAAACCCCACCGGAGTGGAAACAACGTAGCACTGACAGCGTCTGCTTGGTCATGGCGTCCCACACATGTATAGATGGAGACGTGGCTGAGGGACAGACAAGGAGAATTGTTGATCTAAAATGAACTACTATCAATGCACTTCTTTATTTTTTGCGTCCAACTTATGTCATGTGTAAATCCTTTAACAAAATAATTAATTATTGTGTTTCTACAAATTCTATATTCTAATTTAACAAAACCCTAAAAGGTATAGGCTAGAGTTTAGACATATGCCTTCATAGCTTTTTATATATACTACATAATATTTCTTATTTTTTTAGAGAGTCTACAACAAAGCAAAAATGCTTCAAAACATTATTCCTAAAAATAAAGTTTGCATGAATCAAAGACCACAAATCAAGTGGCCACTAGATGGCG